GTTACCTCACCAACAGGCCGCAGTATGTCAGGCTAAAGGACACCGTGTCTGACACTGTGGTCAGCAGCACAGGAGCCCCTCAGGGCACAGTGCTGGCCCTCTTCTCTTCACCCTGTACTCCTCTGACTTCCACTACAACTCGGAGCTGTGTCACATACAGAAGTATGCTGATGACACAGCCATAGTCGGATGTATCAGGGACGACGGAGAGGAGGAATATCGCTGTTGGTGAGGGACTTTGCTCTCTGGTGCCACACAAACCACCTGGAACTCAACACCTCTAAGACGAAGGAGCTGGTTATAGACTTTGGGAGGTCCAGACCAATGCCGAGACCAGTCGTACTAGAGGGAACGGAGGTTGAGGTCGTGGGCTCCTACAAGTACCTCGGGCTGTGGCTGGACAGTAAACTGGATTGGTCAAAACACACCAGCCACCTGTACGGAAGGTGCAGAGCAGGATGTACTTCCTGAGGAGACTGCGGTCCTTTAACATCTGCAGCAAACTGCTGTGTATGTTCTACCAGTCAGTGATCGCCAGTGTCCTCTTCTACACCGTGGTGTGCTGGGGAGGCAGCACATCCAAGAAGGACACGTCCAGACTGGACAAACTGATCAGGCGTGCCGGCTCTGTGGTCGGCATGAAGTTGGACTCTCTGGTGACGGTGGCAGAGGCGAGGACACTGAACAAACTGCTGGACATCATGGACGATAGCAGCCACCCTCTACACGCCGTCATCAGCAGCCAGAGGAGCCTGTTCAGTGACAGACTGCTGCTTCCAAGTGCCGGACCAATAGATTCAAGAACTCCTTTGTCCCCCACGCCTTCAGACTGTACAACTCCTCACTGGGAGGTCGGAGGTGACACAGGACAGAGGGAAGAAGGAGTAGTTTTTCTACAAATGTGAACTCCATATTTATCAGGCCAAAACCATACAGTGCAATACCATATCACTCACTGGTCAATCTATCGACCAATTGCTATAATTTCCTTTTGTGTTGTATTTATATTCTTTGTTTTGTTTAATTTGTATTTTTTTGTATTTTGTGTATGCTTACTGTGTGCCACATTTTTGCCTGTGAGCTGGTAACTATAATTTCCTGAGTGATTATTCCCAAGGGATCAATAAAGTCAAGTCTAAGTCTAAGTCTAAGTCTATATATATATATATATATGTTTTTTTTTATTTTATTCAATATCAATATTTGTCAAAGTTAATCTAATAAAAAAAAACACAGTGACGTCAGTTCCAAAGCGCTATTGTGTCAGACTCATCTCCCGCTGAAGAGGATCCAGCGACATCAAGAGATTACGGAAAATCACGCGAGATAACTGGCTTGCACCTTGTTGGGTTTTTTCAAGGGCAGAGGGGAGATTCCTGGCGTGCATCTACTTAATTTGAAGAAGGTAAGAGTCAATCTATTTTCATCTAAATCCATATAAAATATGTAACTTAAAATTTCTCTACCATTTGCACCATTTTCTACTTGTTCCATACTTGTGTCACATTATTTCATGTTTTGTAGATTAAGTCGGTTAGGTTAAGGCAGATAGCTTTTTGTTTACATTTATCGCCGCACCATGTTAGGTACATTCTGTGCGAAAAAAGTCTGCAGAGCCATATGTAGTGTACAAAGCTGCTGCCAGAGACACAAATGGACCCCAGAAATGTCACAGTTTTGTTCCCCCTGAGTTCCCTGGAGGTTTAGTGGATTTTTAACACACGGATCTAACATCAGTCTATTTCTAACTATTTTAATTCTATTTCAGTAATGTTACTATGGAGGTAAATGTAGATACACACACTTTGGTACCTTTCTATCATCATCGAGATTCTTAATTAATTATGGTAATAAAAAGTCCTACATTTCAGTCGGTGAAACCTGCAGAAAGCATTGCTTTCTGAGCTTTGTTAAATGTTCCTAAAATACCTGTTAGTTATGGATTTCTAGTATATTTTGTCAGGCTAAAACTCTCAATGGATTATCCATTATTACAGACTTGAGCTTTCTATTTTTTTTTCTTTAAAATACATATTCCTCTGCTGTAAAGATGTTGGGGTTTTTTTTTTGGACTCTTCTTTTTTGTCCCAAATAATTGTAGCTCAGAAACAATATTGAAGTTCATTGGTTTAATTTTGAAATGTTGATGTTTTTTTGTGTTGATTGTTTGTGCTCATTTTGACCTATGTTACTATTGCTTTCTACCATGTTCAATTCACCACTGTTCTGCACATATGTGCTTGCATGTGTCCTGTGGTTATATTCATGAGGCATTCAAGGGACTTGTACTAAAAGATACAACTCAGTTCAGTATGAATTGCATATTTTAATGGCTGAAAATATATCTGATCTCTTTCAGAACATCACCTGATCACCTGTCTGTAATCCACCTGCTTAAGTTCTGGTCAAGGGGGTCATCGGCTATCAAGTTATAGATTTCAGTGGCTAATAGTAAGTTTTGCCAGATCTAAAGTGACTGAATGTAGTGTTAGAGAGCTTATAAAGCTAGGGTTCAGCTAAACATTTATTTGGCCAGTCTGTTTTATTTGTCTTTATTTGCGTGGGGATGTGGAAATGTAAGGAGTGTAGTCTCTCTCTGTCTCGTAGATATGACCTGTTAAAACGTTTTACACTTAAACACCAGCATATGTGACATTACCCATGCCCACACATAGACTGTCCATGTACTTGTAAGACATGGAATGCTTTGCATATTCATTTAAGTAGAAGGATATAGACTGTGTTGACCATTCTGTACTTTTCATATATTTCTTTGGTGATATATTCATGTCTTTATTTAAACCTCTAACAGCTTCAGTTAGATGTTTAAATAAAATGTTAAACTCCATTTTAGTCATGGCATGATGAAGGGATACTAGTAATTTTAAATATATTTCAAATAGACTGCAAGTCACTGATCACTTTTGTTGTGACTTCCTTTGAATGCAGCTATGTTTTCAAGTGTGTGAACCTATACTGCTGGAGTTTTGAGATTGTTCTCATTGTTTTTTGATCTGCATATTTAGGAAGACACTGCTGAGGTCAGACGAGAGTGCATCCTCAAAGGTCTGTGTGTACCTAAATGAAGATCCAGAGAAGCTGGTGAGGGAGTACATGGTATGTTAAATCTCTTTGTGTTTACAATAGAGGTCCTAAGAGTTGTTAAAATACTTTCACCAACTAAGGTCCATGAGTGACTCAATCAATGTCAGTCTAATTTATTTATTTAATTACATGTGAATTGTCTCCCCCCCCCACCCCCCTCCCAATACTCTTCCTTAACTCCCTTAGGACGTTGATGAATGTGCAGAAATGGCCATAGCCGAGACTGTCCTCGGAATCGTCATTTGAGCAGAGGCTGCCGATGCACATCTGGATGTTGGGATTGTCCTGGAGGGGGTGGAAGTTATGAACAGCTTGGGCAGTGTATCTTCTGCAATAGTGATGCTGCTGGGACTAATCTATGCACTAAACTTGAGCTACCCTCAAGTTTAGTGCGTTCAGCACTCAACTTGCTCAGTAACTCAAGCATACCTTTGAAGTAATACAGAAAATAATAACGAAATTGGATGGAAAGAACTTATCAAAGAAAGCACAAGTTCTCAATATGAAACTCACCGCTAAGTTGAGTAAAGTTTCATATGGAAAATGAGTGTTTAAAGTCTGCAGTAGAAAAGATTTATATTGTTACGGTTCTCTAAGTTGAGCAACTATACTGACATATTTTATGTTGTAAAGAATTGGCTGGGAAATGAAACTGTAACCTTTTTGTAGTTTTTTTTTATTTCAATGTCCAACTCAGCTGTGTTTTGTGCTGTGTAAAAAGACGATGTATAACAATTCTGAAAATACAATTGTGTTGTACCTTTTCTAATTGTTGAGTGTTCTTCCTACACTTTCACCTAGTGCTATCTTAAAATGCTTGATTAACGCTTGAAAAAATGTCTTTGAATTAACATCATGAAATAATGGAAAGGATTTCCACACGATTAACTATACTGAAAAAAGTGATTTTTGCGAGTGTTAAATATGATCCATAAAAATGAGGTAAATTTTAATGTATTTTTTCAGGTAGCCAATGATTGAAGAAATGTTGGGTAATTTCTACATTGCTACCCATTCGTTAACATTAAAAACTATTAGATAGGAAATTACAGTAAAATCTACCCCGATTCTTAAGTCCGGTGCTCCAAAGTTGCGCATGCGTCAGACTGGGTTTTTGAAAGAGAAGCGGGACAAGGAACTCTGGATCCTCTCTGCCATCGAACCGGGAGTTGAAGGTAAGATATTAATATAGTTGTGCTGTGAATGATAGCACGAATGCAAATTCTAACATTACAAATGATTAGATACTTCACTTATATTCGATGTGCATCTCTGTAACATGCCAATACTGTACATCAAAATTTGAATTTTTCCATGGCGCCAACATGGCTAACTGTCTGGACAACAACAGGTAGTTTTAATTTGTTCGCAGTGCTTTTGAGATTAGCCAGCATGCATGACTGTTTGTTACCGCTGGTTTTAAGGTTAGAAACTAGTCTAACGCTAAAGCTGAACTTTTGCCCGTGTGGTTAAGTTGTAACGGTCGTTAAGTATCTGCAGGTCTCTGCTCCCACGTCACGCTGCACCGAGACACAGGCACAAATAATTTGCTGATGAACAATTCATTAGTGTATTTTCGCCGCACATGAGAAGTTCCGTCTTAAAATACTAATAGTAATATGTCGCCAACATATGAAATGCCTGCCGTGTTTTATATTGTTGACCTGTTAGCTCCGTTAGCTAACATGGCTGCTGGAGTCGCTCTCCGCCGCGGTCTGTTTAAAAACAACATGATTTTCTCTCCAGTTCACCTGCATGTCTGCGTACGTGTGTCTATGTTGTGAAAGTTTAGCGTTACTGCTCATAGTTTTATAATTTTTCTTCCCATCAAGAAACATTCATGTGAAGACTATGAGATCTGGTTTTTCATTTAAAATTTGATTTTGTCCTTTTATGTCCTAGATCAAGGAAGAGTTCAGACTTATCGACAGTTTCCTTGGAGGAGACATTCATGCTAAAGCTTGATGAGAACACACCAGGTCTTCTGCAGCTTATGCTGCTAAATGAGGGGCTGCTGGTTCAAAGATGCACCTTCTGCTGGACACTTTAAATGACGTATGTTTTTTTTTTTTTTTTTTCAGAAATATGTCATTATTGATATACTTAAATTAAAAATGGAAATAATTTGTAAAGAATTGCTTTGTTGTGCACAAAGTTGAGCTCCTTACCAACTTAGTGTGTGTAAATCTCTCCCCACTCTCCACTAACAGTCTTTTCACTAAATTGCATTTCCCTACAGCCACAGAGCATTGAGGAAAAAAGGGATACAGTTGTCTGCTGCCTCATTAACTACTTTAGTGAAAGACAAGAAGATCTTTTCCATGACTGCCAGGTATGTCCTTGAAAACAGATGATCGATTAACTCAAGGGATCCTTCTTCACATCTCTTCTGCATCTCTGGATCACTACCCTCTGCTCTCCTTTAGATATGTTGAAATGTATGGAAAAAGCATCTTCAATAAAATTTTAAATGTGTATCTTTTTTGATTATTTTTAACATATAGGAATGTGAGGACTACACAGACAAAACAATGACGGTGATCGTGATGCACAACATCATGGCTGAGGAGGATCCATCAGATTGTGATTGAGGGAAACCAAGTGATGGAAGGATGTGGAAGCCGAACAAAGACATGTGTACTGCTGATGGGACTCATATTTGCCCTGAACCTGGACTATCCAAAGCAGCTCAAGAACACATTTGAAGCTTTTCAAAAACTTTTTTTGGAAATTGATGGGGCAAAACTACTGAAGAAGGTCCACAGTCTGAAGAACAAGCTCAAGGCATACATTTTCCGTCTTGTTCCAAGAGGATCTTTTGTCTGGACAGAGTTTTAAGGTAGTATAGCTTTTTTTATTAGTGTTCTGTTCTGTCCTCTGCTCCACACACAGACACAGACATATATGTGGATACATAAGTACGTTGCAGCCTCTCTCAGCCCACTCCATTGTTCTCTGATTTCTGAAAATGGAAAAACAATGTAAACTGGACAGTCTGGTCATTAACACTGACTGAATTCTGACAAATTTAAAAATCACCTCTTTCCCAATTTCGTTGTTTCTGTTATTGTCATTCTACCTGAATGAGTGCAACTATATTAACTGAAGACTGTTGTTTTTCTGATCTGTTTTCATCCACATGTACACACGCAGAAAAAAAAAGTATTACAGTTTGTGTGTGGGTTTTGAAGCTTTTGGAATAGAATAAGGGGACTCTTAAAGTTTGGTTGCATTAAATACTTATCCAGAGACAACATATGTAGCCGTTAGCTCAGTGTGTTATAAAATGTGTTTTGAAATGTCTAAATGTTGTAGTTGTTGTACTGCACTTTATTCATTTATTGTTAATGTTGTGTTATAGTTCTGTTATTGTTGTGTTTAAATACACCTGCACATCTGAAGATTTGCTCAGTCACTGTTGTGTGAGGCTGAGGAAACACAATTAAGACTATCCCTTGCACCTCACTTCTCCTTTAATTTTCTCTGTTCTCCTAAATTGTCCTTTTCTCTGATGTACTCCTGAGATTGGATGTCTGACATGTTTTATAGTCCTACATTACTGAAAAAATATTTGAAGATGTTATACTGCGGTTTAAGTATTTGTAATTTTGCTTGACACTGCTGTGTTGCACTTATTTCTGTTGTACTTTTTGGATGAATTCTTAGAATAAAATAATTGTAAAAGTGTATCATCTCGATCTATTATTTGTGGCTGCATTTTAACTTACCTGAATAAGTAAAGGTAACTCAGTGATTTCAGTTAACTTTAACTCTTAATTTTCAGCTAAGATTTACTAGCAAACAAGACAAATTTTTACCTATTTTAACTGACTAAATACCTGTTGAATTTAACCATAAATATGAGGTACATTTTACCCAACTTTTTAAAGTATTTCTTACATGTCTAAGTTAATTACTTAATACTCAATATATTTAACTGAATATACCTTAACGGGGACAGTGCAAATTGTTACCTCACTTTTTTAGGGTAAATTCTATAGTTTGCTTTTACAGTGTAGCTGTCTTTTAGCATGAAGCATATTTGTTGAGCTAACTTACTTTTAGTGAGTTGGACCTACTGAATCAGGTAGTGTGAAGGTACCACTGTAAAATAAGGTGGTTTCAACTAGATTTACATTCATCTTAATGAAGTTACATCAATGATTTGGTCCTAAACATTGCAGATTAGTTGGGTGGGCTGTATTGCATTACACTGGGTCACGCTATAGTAACTGAGTTAAAGGAACCTTTAAAAAATATGTTGAGCCAACACATTTCATTTGAATTTGAATAACCTTAATGAATGGAGTTGAGCCAACTCATTTGATTTACAATCATCCATTGCATTACCATAATTCTGGTTAAGCCAACATATTTGGTTTAAATTAGAACAACCTTAATGAATTATGTTTTGCCAACTCATTTTATTTATATAAGAATAACCACAATATATTACTTTGAGCCAACATGTTTGATTTAGAATCGCCCATTGAATCACCATTGTAACAAGTTGAGCCAACACAATTGGATTACATTGGAATAATCTTAATAAATTAGGTTGACCTAACACATTTGCTTTAAATAGGAGTAACACAAGTACATGGTGCTGAAATAAAGCAAAGTAATCAGGTGGAAATCCTTTCCATAATTTTTTTATGTTCATCCAATGACTTATTTTTTTCAGTGTACTTTTACAAGATGAGTCCTTTTTTTTTGTTAAAAATAAAAATAGAAGAATATTCTATTTATTCTTCTTATTTTTCCTTTAAGCGATGAAACCTTCCTGTGATGCCAGACAGAATGAAGCAAAGTGTTTTGGAGCTGTGGGAGGAGCAATAGACGTTCAGCTGATGGACAACTCGTCAGAAATACCCATATTCCGATGGATAATGAATAACTTGGTGATATTATCTTGTAGATATAACATAGTTCTTACTCCAAAGAATGACAGAATTCCCTTTTTTCCAAGTAATGGAACAGTCAGGATCAATGACTTGAGAAGGACTGACAGCAGTGAATATAAACTTGAAATGTTTGATAGAAATGGAATAAACACAGAATGGAGAACTCTGCAACTATTTGTTATAGGTAATCAACAATTTCTCTTCCAAATCTTTTCATTTTTTCTCTTTTACATTGTTTCATTTCACAACAGGACGTAGAAAGAAATTTTACTTTTACTAAATAAAACATAATTTACAACATACTCCAGTTTGTCTTCTCTACTTTCCAGTTTTGCACCAAAATTTAAAAACAAGATATTTTCAGTAATCAATTTCTTCATGTGTTTCTCTCTCAGCTCCTGTGTCTTCTGTTCAGCTCGTCCCTCAGTGTTTATCTCACGGACAGATGATGGTGTCATGTGTGTGTCGAGGCGACCTTCCTCAATACAGCTGGACTCTGGATGGACGCCCACTGACAGACACTGAGCTCTTCTCTAGAAATACTGAGGCCAACATCATCGTTCTGAGACAAAACATCCGAGGACATCTGGTCTGTTCAGTCAGGAATCCAGTCAGTAACTCCTTCAAAGGGATGAACTTAACTCACTGTGGTGAGTGTGAAATGAAAATAACTTGTTTATTTTAGTGGTTTATTGTCAGATTGCTTCTGGGCTTCACATTCATAATCTGCTCTTCAAATGGGACACAAGTCACTAGTTCGTTCATAAATGAAATAGCACCTTGTGTGTTGAACCAACAACAGTCTGTCCAATAGCTAAATATACAATTGTGGGTAAGAAGACACAGTCAATATTGCATATAGCAGACCTAGCGACAAACTTTGGTATATTAGTAAGTTAAAAATTACTAAAAATCGCATCAATAATCTCATCCTCTGGTGTGAGACCTTCTGGAGTTCATCCAGCAAAAAGTACAATCTAACACTACAGTAAAAACTCCTTAGTTTAGTTAAACTAATGAAGTGTTTTGTCTTTAAACAGATCCGGCTGTCTTTGGGATTGCGTAGTATTGCTGTGGTTCTTTAATTTTCCTTTGTCTCTACTTCACTTGGAAGCAAGAGAAATATGAAAAAGCCAAATCGTCTGCCATCCCACCCACAGTGGAGAATCCAGAGAACTGATGGTTCAACTGAGCTCTGCACCTTAGATGGATGACATCATGACTTTAATTTGTAAAAATTCAACATAAGCTCACAAATATAAACATGTAAATACTTCTGGGATTGGCTGCCATGTTTTATGAGTGTTTTATTGTGCAACATTCCAAAGTGTCATTTTTTAATTTTGTTAAAGTGAAAGTTTTAGTTTAATTTCTTTCTAGATCCGTGGTTCTTAACCTGGGTTCGATTGAACCCCAGATCCTAAACGTTTGTAGCTTCGTTATGGAATAATAATTTTTTAAAAAATCAACAAAACATGTTAAAATTAATATTCTCAGTAATTATTGTTAAGTTGGCCTTCTATTACCTGAAGAACATCTCCAGGATTAGAGGACTGATGTCTCGGCCAGATCCAGAGAAACTCATTCATGCGTTTATCTTCAGTCGCATTAATTATTGTAACAGCGTCTTCACAGGCCTGTCCAACAAATCAATTAAACAGCTGCAGCTGATCCAGAAGCTGCTGCTCGCATTCTCACTAAAACCAGGAAGATAGAGCACATAACACCAGTTTTAAAGTCCCTCCACTGGCTCCCAGTAGCTCAAAGAATAGATTTTAAAATACGGTTGTTAGTTTACAAATCACTGAACAGCTTAGCACAAAATACATTTAAGATCTGCTGTTGTATCAACCTTCTCGACCTCTCAGGTCTTCTGGTTCTGGTCTGCTTTGCATCCCCAGAACCAGAACCAAAAGAAGAGAAGCAGCTTTCAGCATCTATGCACCAAATATTTGGAACAAACTTCCAGAAAACTGTAAAACAGCTGAAACACTGACTTCCTTTAAAGCTCAATGAAAAACGCACCTGTTAAGAATTGTATTTGAAATGTAATCAATTCAAAATTTAATGTTGGGACTTGACTTAATGTATTGTTTATTCTATGTTGCATGACTTTGTGTTTATGATGTAAAGCGAGTGGTTCTGAGTTATTTTATCTTTGTTTACCTTCGCTGTGGTTCCTCACAGCCCCTTTAGTTTCTGAATGATCAATAAACGACAAACTTGGTCTAATTACCTCATTCGTCTGCAGTAAACGTCCCAACAAACATCAAATAGGACAAATATATTTGATTAAGTTTTAACAAACAAATGTATCTATCACGATAATTATGTGAAATGAAATGAGTCATATCCCAAATTCAGAAGATTTGCCTTTACCTCTGCAGAGCTCTTTGGTTCCCCCAATCAGTCTGTAGCTTCTCATAGTGACGTCATCAAACCAAATATCAGATCTATCAGAACTGACTGACACCTGCTGGCCTCAGGTTTGCAACCAGCTTCTGACTGAGACACCAGTAACCTGCTCCCAGTGTCAGAATCTCACTGAGGAAGAAACCGCATTAGGTTTTCTATCACTTTATCATTTCTGATATAACTGATGTATATTTGCATAGAAAATGAGTCAATCGGGTTTAATTTACAATTTTTATGTCTTCGTGTCATGAGGTAGATCTCAGCCGTCGGGTGAGAGGAAAAAGTAGATCTTGGGCTCAAAAGTTTGAGCACCCCTGATGTACAACATGGATTCACATGTATCATGGAACATGGATCAGGGTCACATCTGCATGATATGCACTTCCAACTCTCGTCTCGCACTGGCAAAACTAAGGGAACACTTTTTGAAGCTGCAAGGAGATGGAGGAAAGTAAAAAAGTATTTTGTGGATTCAAAACGACAAAAACTAACTTAAATTTCAAATAGAAAAAAAATCAAGTTATTAAAAAAATGTTAAATTCTTCAAAAAATTTCAATTAGTCAAAACAGCAAAAAAAAAAAAAATACAATAAAAAAATTAAAAATAAAATAAAGAAATTGGAGGGGGCCTGAAATTCTTTTTTGGGGCCAAAAGGTTTTGGGGGCCAGAATAAAGTGATACCGTATTGTGTTGTGAGTTCATGCAGTGTGTTGGTTTAGTTCTTTGAGCAAGGTGATGTAAATGCATGGCTCATTTTGTGCACCGGTAAAAAAGCATATACCTATGTCTTGAATTTGGAAAAAAAAAAATCTTATGTAATTTGTCACTAAAGAAGAGTTCAGTGAATCCACATATGAAACTGGTGGGTTCGGTACCTCAAAAAAGGTTAAGAACCACTGCTCTAGAGGTTAAACATGTTTGGGATTTTTTATGCATTTTCCAATTTTATCATACTTTCAATGAATTAGCATTCAACTAATGTTGAGTTGTACCATGAGCTTCTTATGACATATAATGATGTGAATAAGTGTTTGCCAACTTCCTGATTTCCTGTTTTTTGTATGTTTTATGCATTCTCCCATTCTCAAGTCTTTGTCATAAGCAGTTTGCAAGTGTTCAGTTTTTTTCCATCTTGCTTTGTATGTGTTCTGACAGAAAAAAAAAAATCAGCACTGTTTAACGTTTGGGGCTGATTCAATTTATTGATGTCATGATTAAATTATTTTCACGTTGTTAGTAAACACATAATTTTCAGCATTTCATTGCTTGATATGTGTAAAATTAAGACAAAAATTGATTCCTGCAACCTGAAAGTTGTGGGTTGAACTTTATCTTCCTCCACACATCGAATCGCCAGGAGCAAGGTACTAAACCCCAAATTCACAATCAGTGTATTATGTTTGCATGGAGGTGAGTGCAAAATTATTTAATATTTTGACTCTACAATATAAGCACAAATAAGAAAAACTATTGAGAGAATACAGATTCAGCATTTTCAGCTGTTCAATCAGTTCTGGAGGAGTGGGGATGTTTATCAACAATTGGTTCAACAACACAGAGGCTAAATATTGGAGTTCAGACTTATAAATATTTATTTGAATCCTTTTTTAAAAAATAAATACAATTTCATACATTCGAATTTCAGCATTTCCATCAATAAAATTGAATAACTGTAGCAACTGTTTGAGCAAAAATATTATAAATAAACTTCGTGATGTTAAGATTTCTATTTCTGATTGTCTATAAACATACATTTTCTTAAAGAAGATATTTATCAAATGTTGATTCGAAACTACAGTCATCATTTTGTTGGTGTTTTCAGGTAATGGACACAACCTTTAAGAATTATTTTAATACTAATCATCTATTCATTATATAGAAACCTGTTTAAAAATGTTTCTCAGAGCCTATTAGAACATTTCTTTTTCTCCCTCTCTCTCCAACACACAAGTAAAGACTTGCTGGTTGAAAGAGGAAGTAATAACTTCCTTTTCTCCTCTCAGTGAGTTAAAAACATGAACACTACAGTTATTTGATGTGATCAAGGTCTTTGCCAGTTCTCCTCTGTTGCTGATCACTAACAGGACACACAGCAGGTTGTTCAGAATAAAATGTAAATGTTACATTCTGGATAAAATACCTCAAACTGGCAGCAGCTGAGTGAATCTGAGCAAAGATGAAAGCCGTCGTTGGATTCTTACTGATGTCGCTCCAAGTCACTCATGGTGAGTTTTTTAACTTTTCACTCGGCACCAAATTTATTCTGTTATTTGTGAATGACGTGGTAAAATACTCAGCTTACATGATTTCTCTATGAACTTTGATAGTGTGGTATGTTTATTAAATTAGTATTATTTTATAGAAAAATATACACTTTATATGAAAACAGAAATGTTCCAAACTTGTTAAATATGATTGAAGTATGTGGAAGTGTTTCGGCTCAGGCTCATTAGCAAAATGTAAATTTGTCCATAAAAGTAAAGAAATGTAACTTTACAAAGATGCATAGATGATTTTTGCTATTTGTTTTTAGTTATTAAAAATATAGCATCAAACTTTAAGTCAAAACAAAATGTGAAAGACAAGCCAAATAAACAATTATATTTATTTGAGTTAGGATCCAGTTTTCAGATGGTAAATCTATTTAATAATTTAGTTCATTTATTTGATGATATTATTTAATCTTTGAAAAATGTCATTATTAGTAGTAGTTTTGACAAACAATGTCAAGAGAAACAAAAGTTGTCAATTTTACAGATCTCTGCAGTAAACAAAAGCTTGACAGAAACATTTTCCATGATCACCAGATTTGATGATCCTTGATTAAAACTATTTATTCATCTTAATCTAATCATGAATGTAAAAGTGGGTGAGTTTGTCCTTTATATGTATTGGTAAAGAGTTGAAGAGTCACTTTCTGTGACTTTAAAACAACGTGATTCTGTAATACAAAAATAGCCTGAATTAAAAGAAAAAACTGAACAGAAGTTTGCAATTATTAATTTTCCTTTTAATCCTTATAGTTGTAAAGGCACCACAACTATAAGTTCATGAAATATTATTGATTAAATTTTTATTTTTGGCCCGTTTAAGAAAAATTGTGTTGATTTATGTTAGCTTACCTTTTATTGTTTTGTTGCGTTTCAAACTCTGCTGTTTGATACGAAGCATTTAAAGTCATAGTGAGGTGTGAGAAAATGCTCAGTGCTTTATATTATAAATGTGAGTGGCTCAAAGAATCCCTTCATTTTTTTGATCTAGATTAACAACATAAATACACTACTTCTAATTCTTATTCTTGTTTTTCCTTTAAGCGGTGAAACCTTCCTGTGATGGCAGAGAGAATGGAGCTCAGTGTTTTGGTGCTTTGGGAGGAGCAGTAGACATTCAGCTGATGGACAACTTGTTAGAAATACCCAGATTCAATTGCATAATGAATTACTCTGATACTCTGGAGTAGGAATAACCAGTGGCGGAGCCAGAGGGGTGGCCGGGGTGGCACTTGCCACCACCAACAGACCCCTGGCCACCCCTACAGCCACCCCACTGGAAATGGTAATTTTAAAATATAATACTTATGAGATCGGCAAAGATTTGCCTGGAAAACTGTAATTTCCGACTGTTCCTGAAGGCAGCCCGATTCCCGACGCTGTTCTTTGGTTAAACTGACATGTGGGTCCTGCTTGATCCAAAACACATCAACGGCTTTAGAGTTACACCGTCCAGGAGTTTTGCAGGTATTTCCATTTTTGCAGGTATTCCAACTTAGTTTGCTATTTATTTATTATTATTATTATTTTTTTTGACTTTGCTTTTTTTTTTTCCTCACGTCTTTTGATGTATTAAATGTCAAGGTGTCAATGAACACATCTGATTGTAAAAAACTATTTTTAGAATTATCAGCAGTGGATCTGCAGATGTAAAAAGGCTGTGCAGCGCATATAGCACACTGTGATTATTAGTGGCAATAAATTTATTTGGACTCCATGGTGTAAGTACTATTTTGTCCACAGATTTTAGTTTTATTTCAGTCCTTGGCATGGTTTTAACGTTGTTTGGAGTGGTTTCAGGTCTGAAAGTAAAGTTGAGTAAAGCTCTGTCACATCTGTACATTGCAAATGTACTGGAAATGGTGGAAATTAATAACAACTGCACAGTGGCACAGGTTCAATTCCCGGTCTGTCTGCACGGAGTTTGCATGTTCTCCCTGTGCATACCTGGGTTCTCTCCGGGTACTCCGGCTTCCTCCCACAGTCCAAAAAAATGACTGTTAGGTTAATTGGTCTTTCCAAATTCTCCCTAGGTGTGAGAGTGTGTGTGCGTGATTGTTTGTCCTGTTTGTTTCTGTGTTCTCCAGCGACACACTGGCAACCTGTCCTCTGGAGATAGGCACCAGCAACTCCCGACCCCAGTTGGGACAAGGGTGAACAGATAATGGATGGATAGTTACAAATCAAAATTTAAAAAAAATGTATTAGCATCATAGCACAGTTCAAAATGTTAGCTTTATAAAAGAAATATATATACTAGTTACCCCCAGCCAATCAAACTCCATCCATCACTGCTCCCTCCATAAAAGAGCTGCGTTTGAGGTGGGCCTTTTCCTTTGCAGGGTTCCAAGATGACCACAACAAGGACACACCCGAAAGGTAACAAATAATGATGGGTAAATGAGGCGTCATGAAGTGTTTCGACCCAAAGCAAAACTGTATCGACACTGTGTCGATACTGTCACTGAATACTGACACCTGCTGGACATTAAAATCAGGCAACGTAGTTGACAGACTGATTTGATGACCTCGTCTATACAATAAGATTCATTGTATTTTATTGTACATTATATCTTCAGTTCAACTCAAAATATATTCGATATTCTTAGATACAGTCAATAAATAATGTGAACATGTACCATAAAGTGAAAATTTAAGTGAACGTGTTTGGAATGAGGATTGTGCTGCTTTTTTGTAAGTAAAGCCTGACCAGTAAGGTGAAAACCGCACTAGAGCACCCCCTGGTGGATATTTTGTTATATTGTTTAGTGACGCTGAATCATAAAGAGAATATCCAAGATGGTGGAACGCCGCACCGGACGGTTCATAGTTAAGCTGTTTGCTATTCTTGTACGTTGTGTGTCGGACAATATTTGTTCGTAAGTATCTGTTAATTGCTTTTTGTTTTATGTAACTTTGGTGTAAATGTTTTATTTTAGCTCGTAACAAAAAGCTAGTTCGTTTGCTAATACGCAGTTTCGTATGTTTCAGTTTACGATGGCTAAAGTGATGGCAGTGGTCAGAGGCCACTCTTCAATAAACCGCTAAAAAGGAAAGAAGTCTGGTTATTGGAGCTTCGTTGTCTAGCTGCTGAAGAAATTGAGAATTCAGGGGGAGGACAGCATAAGGATGCTTGTGGACTGGGTTTTTCTTTTAATTTTCCAAAATTTTGAAATTAAGTCTGTTATGCGTTTTTGCTGTTCCTGAAAAAAAAATGAAGTAAACAATACATTTATATGAAATAATTTATATATATGAAAAAAAACATGCCTCAGCATTGAGGAGGTGGATTTATTTAATAAAGACAGTGCAACATTTAAAATGCAGACATAATATGAAAGTACACTTAACAGTCAATTTCAGTTGAATTTGGATTCAAGATAGATCAAGAAGAAACTGAAAAGAACCAGATGAAACAACAACCAAGTGATAACCAATACTTTATCTTCTGATGTAAGATCAAAATGGTCCCAAACTACGAAACCTTTCTTTTACTGCCAAAGTTGTAATTTGCATGTTTTATTTTGTATTATTTATACTTTTTTGTTAAGACTCTTATTTTGAAGGATTAAGGTAGGAAGTAGAAGTAGAAGCGTCTAGGTTACCAGGTTACCAGAAACGCTTGCGATATAACAGCATCGCGTTGGCAAGCAAATGAAGAAACATGATTTAAGTTTAAGAATTTACTGAATTACCTCATTTCTACCTCAAAAGGAAGGGTCAGCCAGCGAGGTATGTTTATATGTTTTATGTTATTTTTATATCGATATTGTATTCTTGACACCATCTCACTAAGTTTACGTTGTGTTTTAGTTCGACGGTGGTGTTGGTGTCAGGGAAGCTGAAGCTGTAATAAGAACAACTTTAAAGAGTTTCATTAAAGCTGACTTCACACCAGCAGTGCGACGAACTCTTAATTGCCATAAAAGAAGAAGAGGTGGAAGTGATAGTCGAACTCGAAGCTGCATGATTTTCCCATCGTCGCACCGATGACCGGTCAGTTAAATATTAACGGGCATCAAGATCGGTCAGTTGCAAATGTTAACGGACACACGTTCAACGGTTGCTTCGTCATAAAGACGTCCAGAAGCCAGACATTAAGTTCATGTTTGGAAAGTGACACAAGGAAGGAGTAACAACAAGGAACCGTGTGAAGCCTGACAACAAGAGCGCAACAAACTAACGAGAAGGGAAGTAATGCAACAAGCTCAGAGCAGTGGCGGAGCCAGAGGGGTGGCCGGGGTGGCACTTGCCACCCCCAACGGACCCCTGGCCACCCCTAGTGCCACCCCACTGGAAATGGTCATTTTAAAATATAATACTTATGAGATCGGCAAAGATTTGCCTGGAAAACTGTAATTTCCGACTGTCCCTGAAGGCAGCTCGATGCCCGACGCTGTTCTTTGGTTAAACTGACATGTGGGTCCTGCTTGATCCAAAACACATCAAAGGCTTTAGAGTTACACCGTCCAGGAGTTTTGCAGGTATTTACATTTTACCGCTCAGCAGTAACCGCTGTTACCTTCCTAATGAGAGGCGGCACTTGTCATACATTTCTAAAAAGAAAAAAAATGGTTGTGCACCGCTGCGTAGTGCCTCGTTTATTATATTAGCCATGCTAGTGCTGGTAGATCGTGTTTTAGACAGATTCTTTTAACATATGTTTTAGTGCACATGCTGCCCTCTAATGTTTTATATCTCTCAGCTCTTGCTTGAAATGTGTTTGGTAAGAATATGTGAAAAAGCATTAAGTTTTATAATGACTGAAATGTAAGTAGGCTATGTCATATGAAAGCTTTGAATTATAACCTAACTAGTTATTTTAATTAATGTATTTTTAATTTAGTATTTTAGCTAGCTACAGAAAACTAAAAACTATAGTTTAAATAATAGTTAAAATAGTGTTGTCTCTGCCAAACAGTCATGGAGTCTAAATACCAGGCTCTTATTTTGTGTAGAGCCCAAATGAAGAGAAAAGGGAAGATGTCCCAGTTCTTCTTAAAGAGGCAAAAACCTGCAGCAGTGACCAGGACCAGACAGAACCCTGCAGCAGTGACCAGGACCAGACAGAACCCTGCAGCAGTGACCAACCTGGAGAATCCAGCCAGGAGACTCCAGGCCCAAGTGGATCACCAGCGGGTTAGAGGCTGTGACAGAGAGTTATTAAGTATTAAAATCCAATAAGCCTAATTCTAAAGGTTAGCATGATGCTTTTTGCATTTTTATTGTGTCTGTTTATGCATTTCCAATTAAGTTCCAGAGAGAGATGAGGGTGATATAGATTCACCCTCATCTCACTGTCTTCTGGGGAGGAAGACAGTGAAGCAGAAGGAAATGGCACTGAACTCCCCCCACCCAGCACAACCTATTGCACACCAGAAGCACCAGTTTATTTATTTATTTATTTTTGAGAATTTGTTGGTCATATTCTGGGCTCTGAGTTTACATTTACATGTTCACTGTTCCATAGTGCCGTTTAACGTCTTGTTTGGTCATGGCAAATCTTAGTTAAATAAACCATTTTAATTTGAGTGTGTGTTAAAAAATATTTGTTTCCTTTCGTTCATCATTTGTATATGGACCCCTCTGATATAAAGCCTTGCTCACTCTTTGGCCACCCCTTGAAAAAAAGTCTAGCTCCACCACTGGTGGCAAGTGCCACCTCGGCCACCCCTCTGGCTCTGCCACAGCATTGAATATTTGGCTTCCAATTCGGTATACTATTTCTAAAGTAACTTTCACCCAATTCAATACATTCTCTGGAATCCCATATGTTCTTTCTTTCTTTCTTTCTTTCTTTCTTTTTTCTTTTTTTTTCTTTCTTCTCTTTTTCTTTCTTTCTTTTTTCTTTCTTTTTCTTTCTTTCTTTCTTTATTTCTTCTTTCTTTCTCTCTTCTTTCTTTCTTTATTTCTTTCTTTCTTTCTTTCTTTCTTTCTTTCTTTCTTTCTTTCTTTCTTTCTTTCTTTCTTTCTTTCTTTCTTTCTTTCTTTCTTTCTTTCTTTCTTTCTTTCTTTCTTTCTTTATTTATTTATTTATTTATTAGTGAACGTCCAATATTAAATCCTCTCCCATGTCCAGATGCCCCCTGGTGGTGGTTGAGGAGAAATTTTCCATATTAAATCCTCTCCCATGGCCCTGTAAGTCAAATCCCAGCCAGACAATATAAACATTCACGCACACTCACACAAGGAAGCAGCTTTGCTTTGTTTTTGTTTTTTTGTTGTTGTTTTTTCTAGCTGGTTTGTTTCCTCCCAGGCAAACATTCGTCGAGTGACCTGGATGTTTGTCTTGAGAAGCAGCTGGAGCATTTCGAGTGGCGGGTGAAGATTTTAAAGAAAGAGATGTAACAAGAAACAAACTGGATGAAAATGGTTCCTGTGGGAAAGTTCCAGGGCCAAAACCATGACTGAGCCCCTCTCCACACACCCCTTCCCACAAAACACAAGACCCTGTCTCAGGCTTCTAAAAGGTAAACATCTTTATGAGCCCTCATCACCAAAATTCAGAAAACTATTCTGTGGACTGATCAGAGAAAATCTAAATTTTCTGAAAGTTTTGGTCTCTCAAAATAGCTTCTAAATGGCTCCAAAAAAATCTTTATGAGGAATCTATTTAGGGTCTGGATGTGAATCTAATTAATGCCATTAATGCCTCAAAACTTTGCATAGAAGGTGGTGTGCCTTTCTTCAATATTAATTTAAAATATTTAGCAACAATTATCACAAATATTTGATGAGGTTGTTGCAGCCAAGTATTGCACAACCAGCTACCAGGTACTGGAGGCAATTACTTTCTGCATTGGGCCAAGTTACAGTAGTTAGATCCTTATATGGAACAACCATTTGTTAACTGTGCTTTGTATTTATGCAGTTTATGTTTGTCTAATATGAAATATTCTTTCTTAAAATGAAACATTTAAGTGTTAAGAGAAAAAAAGCAAAAGCACAAGTCTTTTAGGAGATAATTTTTTCTCAGCACTATATTTTTCATGGTCAGGTAAAGGTTATCTTGCATTACAAAGCTTTTATTTTAGACCTTTTATAATTTATAGGCAAAACTACTTCATCTTTGTTCCTTCTTTCAGCATGTTGGCTCTTTCCTGAATTTAAAAGATCCTTATCGATTCGACTATTGTCGTGACTTTTGCTTCTCTAAACCTGTCATGACTGTCACGGTTTTCAGTTTTGCCTTTTTGTATGCAAGAAGATAAGCTGGGAGCTCTTGAATCTGCACTATAATCAGAAGCTGCTGTAATCCTGCAGTTTAAGTCATGTGATCTTCTGAGTTAGCAGCCAGGAGTTTGTTTACTCTTCATGTGATTTATGTTGTCAGCCATGTTGTACTGTCTGCCTGCGTCCTCGCTCTGACCCAGACAAAAAAAAAACCCTGATTCAGCAGTAATCACTGGATACATTTTATATTTTCTCACTTAATTTGTCACTTTTCTTAAGTTTTTAACCCTTCTAGCAACAGGTTTAATGAAAATCCATATCACTTTAAAATATGTTTAGACAGCCTGTTGAATGTGACAAGTAGCCGATCAGGAAGCGCGGTGACGTAAGACGGAGGGGAATCCCAAAAGTTGACATGGCGCAACTGAGAATCTGGTGGACATCTGAGTGATATGTGGAAATGTTTATTACTATATGTAAAGGTCATTATTATACATACTTACATATTCCTTCAAAATACGATACAGATGTGCCACAAAACGAACATTTTACTTTCGTGAAAATTTTAACTCACTATATAGTTTTTTATAGTTCTTACCCTTTCTCAAAATAGTTTATTTATTGAGAACCAAACAGATGGATAACTAACAGATTCATATGTAACATTTATTAAAGTTGTTTTCCTGCAGTTATTTTGCGAGGATTTGCAGTCTGTCTCGCTCAACCAGGTTCTCTTTCTGGATGTTGGCAGGAAATATTTTGTGCGGACTTAATTCATGAGGGCTCACTTTGATTGGTTTACAGTCAAAGAAGTCTGTTTCTGTGGAATATGTTGAAATCAAAGAAAGGTGATCTGCGTCCAATGCTTGGGTGTAATTGTGTTGTGAGCTTTCATAAACATAAACAGCCTGGCTGATTTTTTTTTTTTTTTTTTTTTTTGTGATGTCAGTATTAACTATAAAACTAAGTAGTTAATTTTATTCAGTGAAGGTGATTGGCTTTGTCACAGCAAAAAAAAGGGCAGCACTTACAATTGCTGTGGGAAGTGGTTTATTACAAAAGCCCAACTTGAAAAGACACATCTCTTCACTGGTGTCTAAAAATAAGCAAGCTCAATGTTGAACACAGACTTATTTTCTGTTTTCTGTGGTAGAACTGTGCCTGCTCTAAGATGATACAAGCCTATGAATATTTTCAGCAAGTCGCAACAAAATCAGTCACCAGTTAGATTAGCTCAACTCTTTGCCTCTTTGTTCCACGTCTGCTTTAGATTTGCCATGTCCTTTTGATATACAGTGAACTTTTAAACTTCATGTGTTAATCTTAATATTTTAATAATTTTTCACATCAGTTAGTTGACATCGTTTCTAAACCTTATTCTTCCTTTATATCTTCCTCTTATTGAGATTAGTTAGTTAGCCTGGCATAAAATATATTTTTGGTGTTCTTTTCTATCAAAGTGACAAAATCCAAAAAGTAAATACTCACAAATAGTTTGAGGAAAGCATTATATTGAAGTTCAATTAACTTTTGATTAAGTATTAGCCAAAGGAAAAGTAAAACAAAAATAGAAAAAAGAAATGTGAACAATTGCCAGCTGTTGCTTTGAGAAAACTCACGTCTAATCATCTTGATTTAAAAAAAAAGAAAATTTCATGAGTATATAAGTTTTCACTCTTTGTGGGGGTTTTTCTGACCGCTCAGTTTTGACAATTTCATAGTTTTTTTGTAGTGATGCCATGAGCTTCCGTCTTTGTGCAAGTAGCCCGCATGTTCACTTCCTTTTTTATTTCTCTCCATTCTCTCTTTGTCAGTGACAGGAGTTCAGTCCTCCAAGGATTTTGTCAAAGATTACTGAGAGCTGATAATCAACAAAGCTGAATAATAAAGACAGATGGCAGCAGCTGTTGGACTTTTGCTGATGTTACTGGGAGTTTCTCAAGGTGAGTGAAAAATATTGTTCAAGTTACATTATCAGGGTTTTATTAGAGATTTAGATAAAATGTTGGCCATACTTTAAAGAAAATGGCTTTACAGTAAAAAACAACTGCATCACTACATTAAAACTACATTTAAAATACACTTATCATTGTCCTTCGTGTTGTTAAGCAGCTTAGTCTTACGTGTTTAGTTTGAGCAGCAAAACCATAAAAAAGCTTCCATGTTCTATCTTCTGCTTTTTTATCTTCCACATCTTCTTCTTCCACATTTCTTTAGATCTTTAAGTGGCGATATTTCTGAAACATGATGATATAATATTAGTTGATATTTACGTTTTAGTGGAGTATGCTCAACTCCAACATGACTTTAAAAAAAATCAACAAAAGCAATAACACTGATTATAGAAATGTTAAAACACAAAAGTATAATGTTATTGTCTTCACATGTGCTTTTCAATCTCATTGTTATTAAAGTAGTTAATCAAATGTCAACGCCTTTGACTAGTTGTCAGTGAGACATAATGCATAATAGTACGGGTGAGTATTGACTGTCTCAGAAAATTCATTGTTCTTTAATTATAATTATAATTGTAAAAACTGTTTTTTATATTTTTTATATTTCAGGTTTGTCAGCTCACTGCGATGCCAGAAAAGATGGCGCTCAATGCAGTGCGACTTTGGGAGAAACTGTGTTTGTACGGCTGATTGACGACGCTTCAGGAATTAGATTTGAGTTGAGAAAGGAACATGTAACATTACTAAAATGGAGATAAACGAAACAGCTACAAATGAAATAAAAGACAGATCTGATTTCATACCCATTAATGGAACATTCAGGATTAGTGACCTGCAACACAGTGACAGTGGTGATTATAACCTTACAGTCTTTAGTTCAGATGGGAAGCGGGCAGAAAATCGGACTCTTCATTTGTCTGTTCAAGGTAAATACCTTACAAGAAAATAAAATTAGATTGGTTTATTTGACATAATATGGATAATATGTCTAGCTGATTAAAACACTGTAAAATTATACTTTTCATGATCTCTACTAGAACTTATATTAAGTATTGATTTTTTTTTTTATTTCTGCCAGACAGGTTTATTTGCATGCCAACATTTATACACAAAGTGATGCAAATCAGTCTATAGAAAGTTTTAAATGTACAGAAGGAAAAATTACATTAAAAAGAACAAAGATAGAAGCAGTAAACTGTGAATTTCAACCAAATTAATAACCAAGAACTGGCAAGACTAAACTAAAAGCTGCCTGCCCATGTTGGGTTCCTGTCCAAGTCTTGAACATCAAGTGAAAAGCTTTTTGATTTCATACCTTCTTCCTAATGTGATGCATAATTGTCTTTAACATCAAGTCCAACAAATTATCAGTTATACTTTAATATTCAGATTTAATAAGTGACACATCTTTATCAGTAGCATTCATAGCTTAAATTGAGGAAGCCAGTGTTTATTCTTATCTGATGAGACTTCAGGACTGATTCTGGTTCAGAGCAACAAGAAGTTTCAGAATGTTTGAACAGTTTCACATTTGTGTTGCTCTCTCTTTCTATATTAACTTGTTTCCTTTTACCTATACTTTTGAAACAGGCAGTTCTTCATTGAGCATTGGACTTATCACTTCAAGTATTTTCGGCATTTTTCTTCTTTTCATCAGTTTAATTGTCGTCTATGCACGGAGGAAAAAACAAAAACGCAGAGGTACAAATCAAATATCAAAAAAGTTATGCTTGCTTTTTTTTGTGGAAAACTGTCATTGTACAGGAGGTATGTTTTTTTTTAAGTTTTACCAACAGTAAGTGACCCTTATTGTTAATTTTCAGAAACGGAAGATCCCAGCGATTTAACCTACGCTGTTGTTACAACAGTGCAGAAGCCATCGAGGAGCTCAATTAAGCAAAAAGTGGAAGAGGAAGTGGAATATGGCCAGATCAAGTCTGCAGGCTGATTTTCAGCTCTTTAAAACAGACATCCTGAACTGAATATCAGTTCAAATAATGTACAATGTTCTGAGGACAGACAGATGAAAAAGCTGGAATCCCCTTTTATTGCGATTTTACATTAGAAAAATTTACAACCCATTAAAGCTCATAATGCAGGATGTCTGATGTTGCCACAAATGTTTTGATCACGGCGAAGTTTAATTTGTTGATGCTCTGCATTGATATTCCCTAAAATACTAGGAAGTAGTTTTGCTAATTGGGAAAATTGTGCATGTTTAGTTTTAGTTATTTTGCACAAAATGATCAAAAACTATTTTTAGACAGTCAAGATGAGGACACCATAGAGTATACATTGTAAACCATTTTATACTGTGTTACTGAGATATGTATTGTAAACTGTTGTCTTTTATTGTTCAATATGCATTCACTTTTTGAACTTTTTAAAGAGGAAAGTTCCTACTCAGTTGCACATTCCTTGGATCATAAGTTCAACATGTTTCTATTTCCAATAACTTCACAGTTTTTTTTTATTATTATTATTTTAAAATCTTGAACAGCGTGATATTGCTGCCATGGCATTTAAAATATTTTTTAACACTTTTTCATCTTTTCTATGAACCTATATGGAATACTGGTATTGAACCTGAATTTGCCCACTGTGGGAAAATAAATACCATATTTCTACATTCTTCTACTCTATTTCCAATGTTCTTCCTGTATTTGCGTAAGAGTTATTTAAAACCAGAATAGGAAAAAAAAACTCCCTATTCTGAGGCTACATGCTAGCCAATGCAATCTATGACCATGTGTTCCCAGGTTAGAAAGGTTAAACACATGTATTATCCTTCCAGTGGGTTCTGGTACTGCTGTATTGCCACTGATATCACTGATTCATCTCAACTGGCTGCTTTCAGAGCAGAGACGCCAAAGTACTTTGAGCTCCTTTCCCTGTATCAGAGGCTGAGATGATGGATGGATGCATACTTTTGTTCATCAAGCTGGTTGCTGTATTGCAATAGGAGTGCACCGATGGCAGTTTTTCTGCTCGAACACCGATAACCAATGTTTTGAAAAGCTTGACCTTTATAAAATAATTTTTTGTCTGAAATGTTGCTCAAAATAGCAATAAAGATTCTGAACTGGCAACATTGGCAACTATTGTTAACAGTAGACATGCAGTCACAACTTGGTGGGTTTATCTATCAGTCAAACCTTTTTCAAAGAAGAACAAAAGAGGACAATGGTTGATTTTTAGATGTTTGCCGAGGAAGATAAAATCAGTTGATAAGATTGGTTGCACAAGTAAATATCGGCCGGTCACCGAACTCTCAAAATTAAGGAAACCAGCACTGATAAATACGTTGTCAGATAAAGCTCTTATCTTTTTTCAAAAAAAAAAAAGTTCTTGTAATTTCTATAAGTTCATGAAATCTACTTGAAACCTACATGAAACATTATTTCATGTAATGTTCAATATGCTTTTCCTACTGCTTATAAAACCTTTTATTCACATAATACACAAATTCAAAGTTAAGTAGTGAAGCAATGAGGCCGTCCAGTCCACTGTTTAGCCCAAAAGTTCATTACTCATTGCTTCATTCATTGCTCACTATCTGCTGGTGGACTAAAACTGACAGCGTTTTCACATTAACAAATCATATTTCAAAAATATTTGAATTCAACATTGTCTCAAAGTTTGTGTCAAACCCATGTCTAGAAACAGTGGGATCTAATGAAGCCCATTCAACAACGTCATCTCTTTTTGAAACCAAGGCAGTACTACCAATAGGTTGACCATTAGTTGCGGTTGTGTTTTCTTTTTGATTTCCCAAAACACACATTTTTGGAAAATCCAAGAGTGAGAGTGACAGACAGACAGACAGCTTTGTGTTTTTTACTTGCTTCCTGAAAAACTAAAATCCTTCTAAATTCTCTTTTTCTGTGACTTCTTCTGATTATTCGTAGTTAACAAGACGACATTTCACTCATCCAATGGCCTTCAGTCTTTTCTGCTGTGTGAGACTGACGTGTCTTTCCTGATGAAACATTTTATGTTTATTTTTGTGGAAATTTCTATGACTTCTCGTGGGCGGGGGTTAATTGAAGAATTATATTGTGATCGGTGATCTAAAAATATTTCCAGATGAAAGTTTTTGTTCTTTTTTATTGGCTCCATTTCAGCCACCGTCGATGAAAAATGCTCACCTGCTTTCTTGCACTTAACCAAGCTACTGATAACCCACAAAGGAAGATGGTTTGTAACACTTTTATCTTGAAAACAGGTGCACAAAATTTAGCAGTGACGTGTCCCATGTAACGTGAGGCATTTTTTGTCATCGCTTGTGTATTTCAGCGATACATTTGCATCAAACCAGGACTTCATCTGACACATTTTAACTCTGTACCGAACTAGTCGGACAACGGCTTACAGTAAACTGTAATCTTCTTACTTTTTCTTCTTTTTATTGCTTTGGTTTTTTTTTTTTTAGGTTTGCTGAGCTTCCTTCCTCATTTCACCTGTAACTGAAAGGTATTTGCACAGTTTTTCTTTTGAAACTAATCATTAATGGGACATACATCAGCTGTTGCATGCATTTATGTTTTTAACAGTCACTGATCAACAATGACTCGGGTGAACAGAGACATGAAAGCTGTGATTAAGCTGCAGTTGATCCTGATAGGAGTCTGTAGTGGTGAGTTGTTCACATTTTTTCAAGGAACATCTAATTGTTACGTTTTTGTTTTGTTTTTTTGTCTTATTTTCTGCTGTAGCCTGTACTTTTAGGAGCAAAAACACAACTGACAGTAAAATCCTTAATGGATTCAATTGTGATACCTTTAATGCAGTGGTTCCAAAGTATTGGGGGGGTGATGAAAAAATAAAAGAAACTCTCAGGGAGCTGTTCATATTTTAACCCCATTTTGCACAAAGGCTTTTTAAAAGCAAAGTTGAATATGGTTACAAAAAAAAAAAAATACAAATAATGGCATAGAACTAAAAATGAAAGAGTTGCAAGTGTTTTATTATAAAGATGGCTTGTTTTTTCTTTTTGTTGCAACTTGAAATGTGAAATAAATTTCACTTGGAGTTTGAAAACAAAATATGTGTGCCCAGTTGATTGTTTTTATTTTGTTTTTTTGTGGGGGATTTTATTGTAATTCTTAGGGAACCACTGCTTTACTGTTTGTTTATATTTAAATTTCCTCCTATTGTTCATTTTTGACTACTTTGTCATCAAAACAAGTGTATTTCCTTGGTAGGTATTAGATTTGAATCAGTGCCAGTCATCCTTAGCATATGTTTTTTTAAAACCTTTCTTTGGTGTGGAATTAACAACTTAAAGTTTAAAACTAAGAATTTGGTGTACAAATTAAAACTTTGTGTGGATTTTCTCTTGTCCGAATTTGTTCTAAATTCTACTTACCAGGTTAGATAGTTGCTCCTACTATGTCTTAATTGGCATCGACATTTTATTTGATATCTTTTTCTGAGAAATGGTCAAGCTTATTTAAAGCTCTTAATTTCAGGATTTTAACCTCTTAATGCCGGAATGACTTACAGTAAGAGTCATTCAGAGGATGCCCTCTGGCATCACTCTGACGCTAGAGGCAGCAAAGTGTTTGCAATGCGATGCTTTATGTGTTGTTTGAGGTAAGTAGTAACTACTTGTATTTTCTCACTCAGTCACATTTGCTTCAGAAACAGTTTGAAAAGAAAAACTTTTAGGAGTAGTGTTATTGTACCAACTATTTTGAAGAAACTACTTGATATGTTTGGCTACCTGTGGGTTGCAGACAACATCAACAGGTGATGGCTTTATTTGTCCTCTATTCCATAGAAAATTCTCTAAATCAGCAAGTCTCATTATCTGTTTCAAAACAGCTTTAAGCATACTTTATTCTGATTTGCCACATCTCTGGCATGATTGACACACTTTTAGTAAAAGACTTGCCATAATTAGTGACACAAAATCTCAGGCTTTTATCTACCTGTCACATATTATAAGTAAATATGTTAATTAGGACATTTTGATTGGCTTAAAGTCCTAGTAAGGCGTTTTATTCAAAGAAAAGTGAAAATGCCACCTGTTTGTTACTGTGAAATTTAATTGGATCTCGTGCAGCTCTTTTTGTCAATAGCTAAAAATATTCGTCATTTGTCCTCTGTTAAGAAGCAGTAAGGTTTTCTGTAATGTTTAAATTCTATCATGTGTGAATATGATCCTTTGTCTGTGAAATGTTTGCTACCTTTCGGGTGTGTCCCTCTAGTGACCATCTTGGAATCTTGTTAAGGAAGCGGCCCGCCTCAAACCCAGCTCTTTTATAGAGGGAGCAGTGCTATGATGCTGGAGGCCTAATAAACCAGCTTTGATTGTTGTACAACCTAGTTTGCTATTTATTTATTATTATTATTTTTTTTTTGTCTTTGCTTTTTTTTTCCTCACGTCTTTTGATGTATTAAATGTCAAGGTGTCAATGAACACATCTGATTGTAAAAAACTATTTTTAGAATTTTCAGCATGTGGATCTGCAGATGTAAAAAGGCTGTGCAGCGCATAAGTAAAGCGCACTGCGATTATTAGTGGCAATAAATTTATTTATAGAAGTAAATAAATGTAATGGTTACTTTATAAAATAAGCAAATTTATGTGTTTCTCTCTCAGCTCCTGTGTCCTGTGTTCAGCTCGTCCCTCAGTGTTTATCTCAGGGACAGATGAAGGTGTCCTGCTTGTCTCAGGGCGGCAGTCCTCAATACAGCTGGACTCTGGATGGACGCCCACTGACAGACTCTGAGCTCTTCTCTGGAAATAATGAGGCCAGCAGCATCGTTCTGAGACAAAACATCCTAGGACATCTGATCTGTTCAGTCAGGAGTCAAGTCAGTAACTCCTTCAAAGGGATGAACTTAACTTACTGTGGTGAGTGTGAAATGAAAATAATTAGTTTATTTTAGTGGTTTATTGTGAGTTTGCTTCTATGTTGCATATTCATTAACTGAACTTCAACTGAGACACAAATAGCTAAGTGGGTCTTTAAGAAATATTAAAACTTGTTACACATGATTGAAATTTGTGGAAATTGGTCAACTCAGGCTACTTTGATTTTAATTTTTACTGTTTACCTGAAAGCAAATATAAATTTGGTGATAGAAGTGAATAAACGTAATGATTGCTTTATAAAAAACATGAAATATTCTTACTGTTCCTCCTCAGTTATAAAGAAATTAAGATAAACTTTAAGTCAAAAGAAAATGTTAATGACAAGGCCAATTTGACTTTACATTTATTTGAGTCAGGATCCAGTATTTGATTTAGTTACCTGATTCATTGTTTCAACTAGATTAATTAAAAAATAGAAAAGTCAGAGATTTACATGTCTTTAGTCTTTATATAAATATCAATATTATTATTATTATTATTACAGCAATAATAATTACTGTTATTATTTTACATTCATGTAAATAACATCACTTATAACCAAAATACATTGTATGTTCACTTGATGAAGATCCACTTTTATGAAATGAGTCATTTTTTTTGTTAAAAATAGAAAAATACTCTCTTTATTGTTATTCTTGTTTTTCCTTTAAGCGGTGAAACCTTCCTGTGATGGCAGAGAGAATGAAGCTCAGTGTTTTGGAGCTTTGGGAGGAGCAGTAGACATTCAGCTGATGGACAACATGTTGGAAATACCCAGATTCCAATGGATAATGAATAACTCTGTGATACTCAACTGGAGGATTAAAAAAGTTGTTAGTAAAAAGAACAACATAATTCCCGTTTTTCCCAGTAATGGAACAGTCAGGATCAATGACCTGAGAAGGAATGACAGCGGTGAATATAAACTTGAAATGTTTGATGGAGATGGAAAAATGACAGGATGGAAAACTCTGCATCTATCTGTTATTGGTAATCAACAATTTCTCTAAGAATCTTTTCACTTTTTACTCTTTTACATTGTTTCATTTCACAACACGACATGGACAGACATTTTACTTTTATTACATAAAAAATAATTTACAACGTACTCCAGTTTATCTTCTCTACTCTCCAGTTTTCCACCAAAATGTAAAAAAGATATTTTCTTTAATCAATTTTTAATGTGTTTCTCTCTCAGCTCCTGTGTCCTCTGTTCAGCTCGTCCCTCAGTGTTTATCTCAGGGACAGAGGAATGTGTCCTGTGTGTCTCAAGGTGACAGTCCTCAATACAGCTGGACTCTGAATGGACACAAACTGACAAACTCTGAGCTCTTCTCTGGAAACACTGAGGCCAACATCATCGTTCTGAGACAAAACATCTCAGGACATCTGGTCTGTTCAGTCAGGAATCAAGTCAGTAACTCCTTCAAAGGGATGAACTTAACTTATTGTGGTGAGTGTGAATAGAAAAAATTAGTTTATTTTAGTGGTTTATTGTGAGTTTGCTTCTAGGTTGCATATTTTTAACTACAAGTCAACTGAGACATTATACATAATTGATTGAAATTTGTGGAAGTTGCTCAACTCAGGCTAATTTGGTTTTTAATTTTTACTATTTACCTAAAAGCAAATGTAAATTTGGTGACAGAAGTAGATAAATATAAGAAAAGTATAACTTATTCTTGCTGTTAAGTTATTATTACACGTTTATGTAAAAAATATAAATTAAAACCAAAATACTTTGTATATTTACTTGGTGAAAATCTACTTTTACAAAGTGATTTTCTTTTTTGGTTAGAAATATAAATAAAAATATGCTCTCTTTGTTCTTATTCCTGTTCTTCCTTTAAGCGGTGAAAACTTCATGTGATGCCAGAAACAATGAAGCTCAGTGTTTTGGAGTTTTGGGAGAAGCAATAGACATTCAGCTGATGGACGACTTGTCAGCAGCAGTTAGCTTAAATTGGATCATGAATCGTGTTGTGATTCTAAATTGTATATTGAACAGAGTTGTTACTAAAAAGAACAACATAATTCCCGTTTTTCCCAATGATGGAATAGTGAGGATCAATGACCTGACGAGGGATGACAGTGGTGAATATATACTTCATGTGCATAAAGAAAATGATAAACTGGAAAGGAAAACTCTGCAACTTTCTGCAATAGGTAATCAACTTTTGCTCTTCCAATTTTTTCACTTTTTACTCCTTTACATTTTTCATTTCACAACAGGACGTAGACAGAAATTTTACTTTTATTAAATAAAAAATAATTTACAACATACTCCAGTTTGTCTTCTCTGCTTTCCAGCTTTCAACCTAACTTTAAAAACAAGATATTTTCAGTAATCAATTTTTCATCTGTTTCTCTCTCAGCTCCTGTGTTTCCTGTTCAGCTCGTCCCTCAATGTTTATATGAGGGACGGCTGAAGGTGTCATGTGTGACTCAAGGCGACAGTCCTTTGTACAGTTGGACTCTGGATGGACACCCACTGACAAACTCTGAGCTCTTCTTTGGAAATAATGAGGCCAGCAGCATCGTTCTGAGACAAAACATCCTAGGACATCTGGTCTGTTCAGTCAGGAATCAAATCAGTAACTCCTCCGAATGGATGAACTTAACTCACTGTGGTGAGTGAAAAAAGAAAATAATTTGTTTATTTTAGTGGTTTATTGTTTGTTTAGGTTGCATATTCATTGACTGCACTTCAATTGAGACACAAATAGCTAAGAGGGTCTATAAGAAATGTTAAAACTTGTTACACATGTTTAAAATTGGTGGAAATTGTTCAACTCATGCTACTATGGTTTTAATTTTTATTATTTACCTAAAAGCAAATGTAAATTTTTTGGAAGAAGTAAAGAAATGTAATGATCACATTATTACCTGGTTGCTTTATAAAGAAGCATAACTTATTCTTTCTGTTCCTCTTTAGTTATTAAGTATTTAAGAAAAACTTTGTCAAAACAGAATGTTAATGACAAGGCCAATTGAACAAATTGAATTTATATTTATTTCAATTAGAATCCAGTGTTTGATTTAGTTATCTGGTTCATTTTTTCAACTACATTAATTAAAGATTAGAAAAGTCAGAGATTTACATGTCTTTAATCTTTAACTATCATCATCATTGTTATTATTATTGTTATTATTATTTATAATCATTATTATTACAAAAGCAATAATAATAACTGTCATTACTATGTTACTTTCACGTAAATAACATAAATTAAAACCAAAATACTTCCTATATTTATTTTCCTGAAAATCAACTTTTACAAAATGAGTCCCGTTTTTTGTAAAAAATAAAAATAGAAAAATACAATATATATTCTTATTCTTTTTCCTTTAAGTGGAGAAAACTTCCTGTGATGGCAGAAAGAATGGAACTCAGTGTTTGGGAGCTTTGGGAGGAGCAATAGACATTCAGATGATGAACGACATGTTAGAAATACCCAACTTCGAATGGATAATGAATTACTTTGTGATACTCAAGTGGAGGAATAACACAGTTGTTAGTAAAAATAACAACATAAATCCCGTTTTACCCAGTGATGGAATAGTCAGGATCAATGACCTGACAAGGAATGACAGCGGTGAATATAAACTTGAAATGTTTGATGGAGATGGAAAAATGACAGGATGGAAAACTCTGCAACTATCTGTTATAGGTAATAAACTATTTCTCTTCCAATTTTTTCACGTTTTCCTCTTTTACGTTTCTTTATATCACAACATGACATACAGACATTTTACTTTTGTTAAATAAAACATAATTTATAACGTACTCCAGTTTGTCTTCTCTACTTTCCAGTTTTCCACCAAAATCAAAAACAATGTATTTTCTTTTATCATTTTTTTGTGTTTCTCTCTCAGCTCCTGTGTATCCTGTTCAGCTCGTCCACCAGTGTTTATCTCAGGGACAGATGAAGGTGTCATGTGTGTCTCAAGGCGACAGTCCTCAATACAACTGGACTCTGGATGGACACAAACTGACAAACTCTGAGCTCTTCTCTAGAAATACTGAGGCCAACATCATCGTTCTGAGACAAAACATCTCAGGACATCTGGTCTGTTCAGTCAGCAATAACGTCAGTGACTCCTTCAAAGGGATGGACGTAACTTACTGTGGTGAGTGTGAAAAGAAAAATAATTAGTTTATTTTAGAGGTTTATTGTCAGTTTACTTCTAGGTTGCATATTCATTAACTGAACTTCAACTGAAACACAAATAGCTAAGAAATGTTAAAACTTGTTACACATGATTGAAATTTGTGGAAGTTGTTCAACTCAGGCTAATTTGGTTTTAATTTTTACTATTTACTGAAAGCAAATTTAAATTTGGTGATAGAAGTGAATAAACGTAATGGTTACTTTATAAAAAACCATAACTTATCCTTATTGTTCCTCTTTAGTCATTAAGAATTTAAGATAAACTTTAAGTCAAAACAAAATGTTAATGACAGGCTAACTAAACAAGTTGACTTTACATTTATTTGAGTCAGGATCCAGTGTTGGATTTAGTTATGTGATTCATTGTTTAACTAGATTAATAAAAGATTAGAAAATTACATGGATTTAATCTTTGAATTAAATAACATTATTACTATTATTATTTATAATTAGACGTTCATGTAAATAACATCAGTTAAAACCAAAATATTTTGTATGTTTTCTTGATGAAAATCTACTTTTACAAAATGAGTAACTTTTTTCATTAAAAATAAAAATAGAAGAATACTTTATTCATTCTTATTCTTATTTTTCTTTTAAGCGGTGAAACCTTCCTGTGATGGCAGAAAGAATGGAGCTCAGTGTTTTGGAGCTTTGGGAGGAGCAGTAGACATTCAGCTGATGGACGACATGTTCGGAATACCCATCTTCAATTGGATAATTAATAAGGTTGTGGTTCTACGTTGGAGATTTGACAAAGTTGTTAGTAAAAGAAACAACATAATTCCCGCTTTTCCCAGTAATGGAACAGTCAGGATCAATGACCTGAGAACGACTGACACCGGTTACTATAACCTTGATATGTTTGATGGAAAAGGAAATAAGAAAGGATCGAGAATGCTGAAGCTATCTGTCATAGGTAATCAACAATTTCTCTTCCATTTTTTCACTTTTTACTCTTTTACATTGTTTCATTCCACAACAGGACGTAGACAGACATTTTACTTTTATTAAATAAAACATAATTTACAACGTACTCCAGTTTGTCTTCTCTACTTTCCAGTTTTCCACCGAAATGTAAAAACAAGATATTTTCTTTAATCAATTTTTTGTGTTTCTCTATCAGCTCCTGTGTCCTCTGTTCAGCTCGTCCCTCAGTTTTATCTCAGGGACAGATGAAGGTGTCCTGTGTGTCTCAAGGCGACAGTCCTCAATACAGCTGGACTCTGGATGGACACAAACTGACAGACTCTGAGCTCTTCTCTGGAAATACCGGGGCCAACATCATCGTTCTGAGACAAAACATCCTAGGACATCTGGTCTGTTCAGTCAGCAATCAAGTCAGTAACTCATTCAAAGGGATGAACTTAACTTATTGTGGTGAGTGTGAAAAGAAAATAATTAGTCTATTTTAGTGGTTTATTGTGAGTTTGCTTCTAGGTTGCATATTTATTAACTGAACTTCAACTGAGACACAAATAGCAAAGAAATGTTAAAACGTGTTATACATAATTGATTGAAATTTGTGCAAGTTGTTCAACTCAGGCTAATTTGGTTTTAATTTTTACAATTGACTGAAAGCAAATATTTATTTGGTGATATAAATAAATCATGATTTATAAAGTAATGGCTACTTTATAAAATGGTTGCTTTATAAAGAAGCATCACTTATTCTTACTGTTCCTCTTTAGTTATTAAGAATGTACGATAAACTTTAAGTCAAAACAAAATGTTAACGACAAGCCAATTAAACAATTTGACTTGATACTTATTTGAGTCAGGATCCAGTGTTTGATATGAAGCCAAGGCGCAAATTCAAACTGGAACCTGGATCATCCAACCGGTGCATGCTCTTCACTTTTGATTAATCAACGCTGGTCCAAGACACGTCACGCCAAGTCCCATCTTATACGGACCATCATCCATGGCGTCTTCCGCTTTCCAGCAGAGCTCAATCTGTTCATTCGCACGCCTCAGTTTCTCAGCAAACCTTCTCACCAGATCCCTTTCTCCGTGATTCCTTGTCCTTCCACCTCTAACCTCGTCTTAAAAGCCGCATCCTCTCGGAGTTGCATGAGAAATTCTTCTGGCCTCGATCATTCCAAGCAGCTTCTCCCTCCGCTTGCTCGCCTGACTGGGATCCACCGTCTCCTACTTCTTCGCCACCTCCTCCACGGTATATCTTTGGCAGGCCGACACATAAATCCACCGTCTCCATCCTCGAGCAGCCTTTCTTCGTCTTCGGCCCTGGCTGGGCCCGCCAAAGTCTCGCCGCACCGATCTACCGGTTGCCGTTCCCTCCCAGCCTTTTCACCGGTTCCCCGCCCTGGTTCAGCCTCGTCAACAGCTTCAGCCCGGTTCATCAGCACCTCCCATCGGATTTCTCACGCCACGCCCGCCTCGGGCTTCCGGGGTAAGACGTACCTTCACATGTCTCATTATCCGTATGCGCCACTCAGGCTGCGTTTCAATGCTTCAGGGCTTTTAACTGAATCAACGCTTATATAAACTAATAAATAAATATTTTCTTAGTTTACACTCAGTCAGCCGTGCCACCCATGGATGGACTGGAAGCTGTTTGTTGTTTATCATAGAACGGCCAACACCCTGTTTTTCCTATATCAATTTGATACATATGGGCTCCTGCTCTTTCCATGTCTGCTGTCACTGTTTAGCAGTTAAAACGGTTCAATTTGTTAGCATGTCGTAACATTGTTTCCCGAGCTGCTCATTAGCACTGTGACACTTGCGCTGGGTCTACTCCCGTGCGGTGGGATGGTGCCCCGCTGCTGCTGTGCGAGCTGCACAGGAATGCCTTAGAATCAGGGCAACAAAACAGCAAATGCAAAGTACTTTGCGCAGTTTTCCCCCCCGAACTAACCGACCGAGCCGAGCAAGCCGTTGGATACAGGTAAACGCTAGCTAAAAGATGACTAGCTAATAATACAGGACCTTAAGTTTGTGACAAGTAGCATGCAGGCTATCGGTGTTGTTGCGTTTGTCCAGTTACGTAGATTCATTTGCCCACTTATTAAGCTGTCCAGAGACGGGCGTTCTCCGCTAACAAGCAAACTTATGTGACCAGGTGAAAAATGGCTACATGTCAAATGTATTTTAAAAGCCATGCTTTGTTTTTGTTTCACCGACTGGTTGTGATTCTTGTTTTTGCCAGCATGTGGTGCTGTTACAGAGAGGTCTAAAATGACAGGAAATAGAACAAACCTCATTTATGTATCATGGCACTAAAACAAGAGAACGGAAGAGGACATTTTGTGCACCGAGACCTGTTGGAAGGAAACGACTATATGCCCACCTGACTAGAGGATCCGAGTGCTCGAATTGCCACTGCTGTTTATTATTACACCCCTTAAGAGTTTAGCTCTGATGTGAAGCTATGGCCCGCCATTTTCACTTAAGCTAATAGTTGATAGAATACGGGTAATTTCTTTCAGCATATATTGATCCTCATTCTTTCATTTGTTTACAACTGAGAGAGAGAGAGAAAAGTATTCTATTTCATCTGAAAAAATAAAGGACCCCCTTTTTTTTTTTTTTTTTTTTTTTTGAAGCTTTGTGTGCTCCATTACTCCCGGCTTCACTTACTTTGATATTTCAAGCTCGCGTCCCATCTGTCAGTTCTAAGTTTCATCTCTCATCCAAAATTGTCCGAAATCTGCATGGTTCGATTCCACAGGCCATCATGTCTCTTCCTGGTCTACACAGGCTATTCTCTAGCTTGCCCAGTATTTTACAAAATCTGTTCCACTGATGTAATTTGGGTCATTTCTGCAAGCGACCCCTTATAGTAGCTTTCGGCAATAAGCCGTCATGCCCGAACTATTAAGCCGAACAGCCCTATCCACCTCATATCATCAGTTGGCATCGATCTAGCTTATCGTCCCTACTTGTTACAGCCCCAGTCATTTTATCACCTTTGCTGATAAGTTGTCTCTCTCAGCCTTCATTCAGTCCACTCCAACTATTGGACTCCATCACCCACTTTTATCTCTATCTCACATCATGCTCTGTGTTTCATTCCCTATTCTTTTTTCAGTTTCTCATCCTTATTTATTTTGAGTCTTGGCTTTCGTTTGTTTAAGCTCATTTACTGTTCCAAGCCTCCCATTCTTGTGACAACAAAGCTAGAACCTGTAGAAGACGTCTTCTGCCGTTTGATCACTTTCAACTAGTCTTCAGGTATTCTCTTGGCCTTTCGCCAACAGCTTTGTTGTTCATCTTCAGCATTCTCCTTTTATAATTATACGCATCTTTCCTCTGTGTTTCAGCGCCCCTCAGTACCTGATGAGTACTGCGCAATTCGCTGGTGGTGGTTGGTTTACTCCATCTAAACGTGCTCCTTTCCCATGCCGTGACGTTACTTTCCCCTTTTGCTTTTACGTTCTTAATTTCAGGTTTCTTTTAGGAGTATTCTTGCCTATTGCCCGCATCTTTCGACCATTTCACAGTGAGTCTAATTCCTACTCCAGTTTCGTTTCCGCAAGAAGTTGTCTATACCGCCCTTTTAAGTTTCCCTGCTTAATCTTATTTAATTTAGTAAATGCTTGACTAGCTCTTTTCTCTCTCACCTCTATTCTTGCTATTCTATCCCCAGCTGGCCCTGTTCTCCAGGCGGCCCATCACTTCATGCCTCAGAACATCCCCATCTCCTGCTGGCCTTTTTAACCAGCATGCCCTTATACTTTGCCCAACAGCATCCCTTACTGGTCCCCTTTTATGTATATCCCGCCTTGTACATCCCTTTACTGCAGGCTCTACTGCGTTCTCAGCTGGATTTTTAATCAATAACCCCTCATGCCTTTTCCTACAGCATTCCTTGGTGGTCTCCATCTACCAGCATCCTTATATCCCTTGCCCAGTGCATCCTATCATTTCATTCCTTGCAACATTCTCAGCTGGCCTTTAACCAGCGTCCCGCAGCAGCCCCCGCTGGTCCCCTTTCATCATTATTTCTATTTTCCCACGCCCTGTCCTTTCGATCTCTTCATGCCCTGTTGTATCATTAGCTGGCTTTTTCAGCATCCTCTCATCCCTCTTCCTACCACATCCCAAGCTGGTACTCATCCTCTAGTATCTCATGCCATGCCGTGCGTTCTGGCCATTCCCATGCGCATCCCATCATCTCTTTCCCCGCTACATTCCCCGCTGATCTTTGTCTTCCCTTCTCACTCTTCCCTCCTGTCACTGTCACGCCATCTCCTTCTGTTCGACAAACTAAGTCAGAGCAACTCCTCTCCCCTTTACCTTTTCGTCATCTGTCCTCCAGCCTCAGCCTTATTTTGGGGGATGTCGTTCCTAGCAGCATCTGGAATGTTCACCCGAGCCCATCACTGTGTCGTGGTAAAAATTACAATAAGGAACATCTGCTAATCATGTCATATGATACGTTTGTGAACTCTCACCAAAATAACTATTTGGGTTACATGGACGAGGTGGGAAGGTTGCTTTCCACAGCTGCATCAGGTCCAGACCGTCTTGCCCCTTGCTTTTCTTTCCTTATCATTGTATAAAAAACTTAAATGTTGTCTCTGCCTGGCAGAGCTTAGTGAGCTTGGTTAGCCTTGCATCCAGACTGGCTTGAGTGATTGTCTTATGAGCTCTCTGTATTGTGCATGATGCATGAATAAACCTGATTAAGTGATTCTACCTGGACAGTGCTTGGAAATGGTTGTTTTCCACGACAACTGTCACATCATCTCCTTTAGTTATGGTCCTAACCTTGCAAGCTAAACCAGCGCACCTCCTCTCCTTTAGCGCTTTCCGTCTCCGATTATCCGGCCTTGGCCCTGGCCTTGGCCCTGGCCCCGGCCCCGACCTCGACCTCTTTTTGGGGATAACATTCATTTCAGCATACGGAATGCTCATCCAAGCCCATCGCAAAGTATGCGATAATTGATGTCCTCAGCCGGAGCCCGAGTGCTGAAGACTCCAATTTGTATGTCAAACTCTTCTTATGGTTTCCCTTGTCTCTGTCTGAGTCTCTCCAGATTGATATGAAGCCTAGGTGCAAATTCAAACTGGAAGACTCTTCTAGCCCCACCTGGATCATCCAACCAGTGCAGCATGCTCATCACCGTTGATTAATCAACGCTGGTCCAAGACATGTCGCGTCCAATCACCGCCCAAAAGTCCCAGCTGATAAGGACCATCATCCATGGCGTCTTCCGCTTTCCACCAGAGCTCAACACACCTCCACCCTACACCTCCACTCACTCAGCCATCCGCCCGCATCCTTCATCGCCTTCACCACCAGTGTCGGGTCCCGGGTGATAACGTTCCTTTCAGCATACGGAATGCTCAGCTGAGCCCATCGCAAAGTTTGCGATAATCAATGTCCTCAGCCTGGGCCGAGTGCCAAAGACTAATTTGTATATCAATAAACTCTTTGAATGGTTTCCTTTTCTCTGACTGAGTCTCTCCAAATTGAATTACTTATCTGGTTAATTTTTTCAACTAGATTAATTAAAGATTAGAAAAGTAAAAGATTTACATGGATTTACATAGTCCATGTAAATCGTTCATGTAAATAACATCACTTAAAACCAAAATACTTTGCATGTTGATGAAAATCTACTTTTACAAAATGAGTTTTCTTTTTTCTTTTTTTGATTAAAAAAAGAAAAACTCTCTCTTTATTCTTCTTGTTTTTCCTTTAAGCGGTGAAACCTTCCTGTGATGCCAGACAGAATGGAGCTCAGTGTTTTGGAGCTTTGGGAGGAGCAGTAGACATTCAGCTGATGGTCAACATGTTAGCAATACCCATAATCCATTGGAAGATGAATTCCTCTATAATATTCATCTGGAGGTATGGCAGAATGGTTAGAATCAAAGACAACGTAATTCCCGTTTTTCCCAGTAACGGAACAGTCAGGATCAATGACCTGAGAAGGAATGACAATGGTGAATATCAACTTGAAATGTTTGATGGAAATGGAAAAATAACAGGAAAGAAAACTCTGCATCTATCTGTTATAGGTAATCAAATCTTTGATTTTTTTATGTTGTTTCATTTCACAACAAAATGTAAATATTTTTTTTAATTATGATAAATTATTTACAATGTACTTCAGTTTATTTTTTATATTTTTCCACTAAAACTTAAAACAAAAACATATTTTCTTTAATCAATTTTTCATGTGTTTCTCTCTCAGCTCCTGTGTTTCCTGTTCAGCTCGTCCCTCAGTGTTTATCTCAGGGACAGATGAAGGTGTCCTGTGTGACTCAAGGTGACAGTCCTTTGTACAGCTGGACTCTGGATGGACACAAACTGACAGACTCTAAGATCTTTTCTGGAAATACTGAGGCCAACATCATCATTCTGAGACATAACATACTAGGACATCTGGTCTGTTCAGTCAGGAATGAAATCAGTAACTCCTCCGAAGGGATGAACTTGACTCACTGTGGTGAGTGTGAAAAGAAAAATAGTTTATCTTAGTGGTTTATTGTGTGTTTGCTTCTTGGTTGCATATTCATTAACTGCGAATCAACTGAGACACAAAAAGCTAAGCGAGTCTATAAGTAATATTAAAACTTGTTACACATGATTAAAACTGGTAGAAATTGTTCAACTCAGGCAAATTTGTTTTTTAATTTTTACCATTTACCTAAAAGCAAATGTAAAGTTTTGTGATAGTAGACAAATGTAATGGTTGCTCTATAAAAGAGAGGACTGATGTCTCGGCCAGATCCAGAGAAACTCATCCATGCGTTTCTCTTCAGTCGCATTGATTATTGTAACAGCGTCTTCACAGGCCTGTCCAACAAATCAATTAAACAGCTGCAGTTGATCCAGAAGCTGCTGCTCGCATTCTCACTAAAACCAGGAAGATAGAGCACATAACACCAGTTTTAAAGTCCCTCCACTGGCTCCCAGTAGCTCAAAGAATAGACTTTAAAATACTGTTGTTAGTTTACAAATCACTGAACAGCTTAGCACCAAAATACATTTAAGATCTGCTGTTGTATCAACCTTCCCGACCTCTCGGGTCTTCTGGTTCTGGTCTGCTTTGCATCCCCAGAACCAGAACCAAAAGAGGAGAAGCAGCTTTCAGGATCTATGCACCAAATATTTGGAACAAACTTCCAGAAAACTGTAAAACAGCTGAAACACTGACTTCCTTTAAAGCTCAACGAAAAACGCACCTGTTAAGAATTGTTTTTGAAATGTAATATGTAACAATATATTGTTTATTCTATGTTGCATGACTTTGTGTTTTTGTGTTTATGATGTAAAGCACTTTAAAATGCCTCACTGCTGAAATGTGCTACACAAATAAAATATATGGTTTGAAATAATAAAGCATAACTTATTCTCACTGTTCCTCTTTAGTTATTAAGAATTTAAGATGAACAAAATCTTAAATTTTAAGACAAAATTTGTCAAGTCAAAATGTTAATGATAGGCCAATTAAAGTATTTTTATTTATATTTATTTGAGTCAGGATCCAGTGTTGGATTTAGTTATCTGGTTCATTTTTTCAACTACATTAATTAAAGATTAGAAAAGTCAGTTACATGTCTTTAATCTTTAACTATCATCATTATTATTATTATTTATAATGATTATTATTACAAAAGCAATAATAATTACTGTCATTATTATTTTACTTTTATGTAAATAACATCAGTTAAAACCTAAATATTTTGTATGTTTTCTGGATGAAAATCTGCTTTTACAAGATGAGTACCTTTTTTGTTGAAAATAAAAATAGAAGAATACTCTATTCATTCTTATTCTTGTTTTTCCTTTAAGTGGTGAAACCTTCCTGTGATGGCAGAAAGAATGGAGCTCAGTGTATTGGAGCTTTGGGAGGAGTAATAGACATTCAGCTGATGGACAACATGTTGGAAATGCCCCACTTTGAATGGACAAACAATAACTTTGTGATTCTACATTGGAGGTTTAACTCAGTTGTTAGTAAAAGAAGGAACATGATTCCCATTTTTCCCAGTAATGGAACAGTCAGGCTCTATGACCTGAGAAGGACTGACAGCGGTGAATATAAACTTGAAATATTTGATGGAAAAGGAAAAAAGACAGGATGGAGAATGCTGAAGCTATCTGTCATAGGTAATCAACAATTTCTCTTCCATTTTTTCACTTTTTACTCTTTTACATTGTTTCATTTCCCAACAGGACGTAGACAGACATTTTACTTTTATTAAATAAAACATAATTTACAACATACTCCGGTTTGTCTTCTCTAATTTCCAGTTTTTCCACCTAACTTTAAAAACAAGATATTATCAGTAATCAATTTCTTCATCTGTTTCTCTCTCAGCTCCTGTGAATCCTGTTCAGCTCGTCCCCCAGTGTTTATCTCAGGGACAGATGAAGGTGTCCTGTGTGTCTCAAGGCGACAGTCCTTTGTACAGTTGGACTCTGGATGGACGTCCACTGACAAACTCTGAGCTCTTCTCTGGAAATACTGAGGCCAACATCATCGTTCTGAGACCAAACATCCTCGGACATCTGGTCTGTTCAGTCAGCAATCAAGCCAGTAACTCCTCCGAATGGATGAACGTAACTTACTGTGGTGAGTGTGAAAAGAAAATAATTAGTTTATTTTAGTGGTTTATTGTGTTTTTGCTACTAGGTTGCATATTCATTAACTGAACTTCAATTTAGACACAAATAGCTAAGAGGGTCTATAAGAAATGTTAAAACTTGTTACACATGATTGAAATTTGTGGAAGTTGTTCAACTCAGGCTAATTTGGTTTTAATTTTTACTATTTACTGAAAGCAAATGTTTATTTGGTGATAGAAGTGAATAAATGTAATGGTTACTTTCTAAAAACCATAACTTATCCTTATTGTTCCTCTTTAGTCATTAAGAATTACAGATAAACTTGATGTCAAAAGAAAATGTTAATGACAGGCTAACTAAACAATTTGACTTCATGTTTATTTCAGTTATTATCCAGTGATTGAGTTATCTGGTTCATTTTTTTCAACTAGATTAATTATAGATTAGACAAGTCAAAGATTTACATGGATTTAATCTTTGAAGTAAATACCATTATTGATATTATTATAATTATTATTATTATTATTATTACACGTTTATCTAAAAAACATAAATTAAAACCAAAATATTTTGTATGTTTACTTGGTGAAAATCTATTTTTACAAAGTGATTTTCTTTTTTGGTTAGAAATATAAATAAAAATATGCTCTCTTTGTTCTTATTCCTGTTCTTCCTTTAAGCGGTGAAAACTTCATGTGATGGCAGAAAGAATGGAGCTCGGTGTTTTGGAGTTTTGGGAGAAGCAATAGACATTCAGCTGATGGATGACTTGTCAGCAGCAGTTAGCTTAAATTGGATCATGAATCGTGTTGTGATTCTAAATTGTATATTGAACAGAGTTGTTACTAAAAAGAACAACATAATTCCCGTTTTTCCCAATGATGGAATAGTGAGGATCAATGACCTGACGAGGGATGACAGTGGTGAATATATACTTTATGTGCATAATGAAGAAGATAGACTGGAAAGGAAAACTCTGCAACTTTCTGTAATAGGTAATCAACTATTGCTCTTCCAATTTTTTCACTTTTTACTCTTTTAGATTGTTTCTTTTCACAACAGGACGTAGACAGACATTTTACTTTTTTAAATAAAAAATAATTTACAACATACTCCAGTTTGTCTTCTCTACTTTCCAGTTTTCCACCTAACTTTAAAAACAAGATATTTTCAATAATCAATTTCTTCATCTGTTTCTCTCTCAGCTCCTGTGTATCCTGTTCAGCTCATCTCTCAATGTTTATCTGAGGGACATATGAAGGTGTCCTGTGTGTCTCAAGGTGACAGTACTTTGTACAGTTGGACTCTGGATGGACACGCACTGACAAACTCTGAGATCTTCTCTAGAAATAATGAGGCCAACATCATCGTTTTGAGACAAAACATCTCAGGATATCTGGTCTGTTCAGTCAGCAATAAAGTCAGTAACTCCTCCAAAGGAATGAACTTAACTCACTGTGGTGAGTGTGAAAAGAAAATAATTAGTTTATTTTAGTGGTTTATTGTTTGTTTCCTTCTCGATTGCATATTCATTATCTGCACTTCAATTGAGACACAAATAGCTAATTGGGTCTATAAGAAATATTAAAACTTGTTACACATGATCGAAATTTGTGGAAATTGTTCAACTCATGCTAATGTGGTTTTAATTTTTATTATTTACCTCAAACCAAATGTAAATTTGCTGGTCGAAGTAAATAAGTGTAATGATTACATTAATATGGTTGCTTTATAAAGAAGCATAACTTATTCTTTCTGTTCCTCTTTAGTTATTAAGTATTTAAGAAACTTTAAGTCAACAAAATGATGATGAGGAGCCAGTTGAACAATTTGTCTTGATATTTATTTGAGTCAGGATCCAGTGTTTGATTTAGTTATTTGGTTCATTTTCTCAACTACATTAATTAAAGATTAGAATAATAAAATGTTTGCATGTATTTAATCTTTAAATACCATCATTATGATTATGATTATTGTTATTGTTTTTGTTATTATTATTATTTCTTTTTCTTTTAAGTGGTGAAAACTTCTTGTGATGGCAGAAAGTCTGCAGCTCAGTGTTTTGGAGCTTTGGGAGGAACAATAGACATTCATCTGATGGACAACGTGTTAGAAATACCCATCTTCAATTGGATGATGAATTACTTTGTGATACTCAAGTGGAGGAATAACGCAGTTGTTAGTAAAAAGAACAACATAATTCCCTTTTTTCCCAGTAATGGAACAGTCAGGATCAATGACCTGACAAGGAATGACAGCGGTGAATATTACCTTGAAATGTTTGATAGAGGTGGAGAAAAGACAGGATGGAAAACTCTGCATCTATCTGTTTTAGGTAACCAACAATTTATCCTCCAATTTTTTCACTTTTTACTCTTTACGTTGTTTCATTTCAAAACATGACATAGACAGACATTTTACTTTTTTAAATAAAAAATAATTTACAAAGTACTCTAGTTTGTCCTCCATACTATCCAGCTTTCAACCTAACTTTAAAAACAAGATATTTTCAGTAATCAATTTCTTCATGTGTTTCTCAGCTCCTGTGTATCCTGTTCAGCTCGTCCCCCAGTGTTTATCTAAGGGACAGATGAAGGTGTCCTGTGTGTCTCAAGGTGACAGTCCTTGGTACAGCTGGACTCTGGATGGACACAAACTGACAAACTCTGAGCTCTTCTCTAGAAATAATGAGGCCAACATCATCGTTTTGAGACAAAGCATCCTAGGACATCTGGTCTGTTCAGTCAGCAATCCAGTCAGTAACTTTTCCAAAGGGATGGACTTAACTTACTGTGGTGAGTGTGAAAAGAAAAATAATTAGTTTATTTTAGTGGTTTATTGTGAGTTTACTTCTAGGTTGCATATTCATTAACTGAACTTCAACTGAGACACAAATAGCAAAGAAATGTTAAAACGTGTTATACATAATTGATTGAAATTTGTGGAAGTTGTTCAACTCAGGCTAATTTGGTTTTCATTTTTACTATTTACTGAAAGCAAATTTAAATTTGGTGATAGAAGTGAATAAACGTAATGGTTACTTTATAAAAAAGCATAAATTATTGTTACTGTTCCTCTTTAGTCATTAAGAATTTAAGATAAACTTTAAGTCAAAACAAAATGTTAATGACAGGATAACTAAACAAGTTGACTTTACATTTATTTGAGTCAGGATCCAGTGTTGGATTTAGTTATGTGATTCATTGTTTAACTAGATTAATAAAAGATTAGAAAATTACATGGATTTAATCTTTGAATTAAATAACATTATTATTATTATTATTATTATTATTTTTATTATTATTGTTATTTATAATTAGACGTTCATGTAAATAACATCAGTTAAAACCAAAATATTTTGTATGTTTTCTTGATGAAAATCTACTTTCCCAAGATGAGTCCTTTTTATTTTGTTGTTGAAAATAAAAATAGAAGAATACTCTATTCATTCTTATTCTTGTTTCTCCTTTAAGCGGTGACACCTTCCTGTGATGGCAGAAAGCCTGGAGGTCAGTGTTTTGTACCTTTGGGAGAAGCAGTAGACATTCAGCTGATGGACAACATGTTAGCAATACCCATGTTCCATTGGATAAAGAAACAGTTGGTGATACTCAAGTGGAGGTTTAACAAAGTTGTTGGTGAAAAAAGCAACATATTTCCCGTTTTTCCCAGTAATGGAACAGTCAGGATCAATGACCTGAGAAGGTCTGACGCCGGTGAATATAAACTTGAAACGTTTGATGGAAAAGAAAAGGACATCATCGAGAACTCTGTATCTAACTGTTATGGGTAATCAACTATTTTTCTTCTAATTTTTTCATTTTTACTCTTTTACATTGTTTCATTTCCCAACAGGACGTAGACAGACATTTTACTTTTATTAAATAAAACATAATTTACAACATACTCCAGTTTGTCTTCTCTACTTTCCAGTTTTCCACCTAAATTTAAAAACAAGATATTTTCAGTAATCAATTTTCATCTGTTTCTCTATCAGCTCCTGTGTCCTCTGTTCAGCTCGTCCCTCAATGTTTATCTGATGGACGGATGAATGTGTCATGTGTGTGTCGAGGTGACCTTCCTCAATACAGCTGGATTCTGGATGGACACAAACTGATAGAGAGGAGCTTTGAGGCCAAGTTCATCGTTCTAAAACATAACATCCTAGGACATCTGGTCTGTTCAGTCAGGAATTCAGTCAGTAACTCCTCCAACGGGATGAACTTAACTCACTGTGGTGAGTGTGAAGCGAAAATAATTAGTTTATTTTAGTGGTTTATTGTGAGTTTGCTTCTCGGTTGCATATTCATTGACTGCACTTCAATTTAGACACAAATAGCAAAGAAATGTTAAAACTTGTTACACATGATTGAAATTTGTGGAAGTTGTTCAACTCAGGCTAATATAGTTTTAATTTTTACTATTTATTTATTTTACTATTTATGTAAATTTATGTAAACCAAAGTACTTTGTATATTTGCTTGATGAAAATCTACTTTCACAAAATTAGTCTTTTTTTTGGTTAAAAATAGAAACATGCTCTCTTTATTCTTATTCTTGTTTTTAGCGGTGAAACCTTCCTGTGATGGCAGAAAGCCTGGAGCTCAGTGTATTGGAGCTTTGGGAGGAGCAGTAGACATTCAGCTGATGGACAACATGTTAGAAGTACCCAACTTCAGATGGCTAAAGAATAACCATGTGATTCTATATTGGAGATTTAACAGATTTATGATTAAAAATAACAACATAAATCCCGTTTTTCGCATTAATGGAACAGTCAGGCTCAGTAACCTGAGAAGGAATGACAGCGGTGAATATTACCTTGAATATTTTCAGGATTCAGGAAGAAAGACAGAATGGAGAACTCTGCAACTATCTGTAATAGGTAATCGCTATTTCTCTTCCATTTTTTTTTACTTTTTACTCTTTTTCATTGATTCATTTCACAACAGGATGTAAATAATTTTTTAAAAATTATGTTAAATGAAAAATTATTTACCACGTTCTTCAGTTTGTATTTTAAACTTTCCACTTTTCCACTAAAACTTTTTTTTTAGCTCCTGTGTCCTCTGTTCAGCTCGTCCCTCAGTGTTTATCTCAGGGACAGATGAAGGTGTCATGTTTGTCTCAAGGCGACAGTCCTTGGTACAACTGGACTCTGGATGGACGCCCACTGACAGACTCTGAGCTCTTCTCTGGAAATAGCGGGCCAACATCATCGTTCTGAGACAAAACATCTCAGGACATCTGGTCTGTTCAGTCAGCAATCAAGCCAGTAACTCCTCCAAAGGGATGAACTTAACTCACTGTGGTGAGTGTGAATAGAAAATAATTAGTTTATTTTAGTGGTTTTTTGTGAGTTTGCTTCTAGGTTGCATATTCATTAACTGAACTTCAATTTAGACACAAATAGCTAAGAAATGTTAAAACTTGTTACACATGATTGAAATTTGTGGAAGTTGTTCTACTCAGGCTAATTTGGTTTTAATTTGTACTATTTACCTAAAAGGAAATGTAAATTTGATGATAGAAGTGAATAAATGTAGTAGTTACATAATGAGAAAAGCACAACTTATCCTTACTGTCCTTATTTAATTATTAAGAATTTAAGATGAACTTTAAGTCAAAACAAAATGTTAAATTAAACAATTTGACTTGATATTTATTTCAGTTAGGATCCAGTGTTTGATTTAGTTATCTGGTTCGTTTTTTCAACTAGATTAATTAAAGATTAGAAAAGTCAGAGATTTACATGTCTTTAATCTTTATATAAATACCAATATTATTATTATTATTATTAAAGCATTTAATTTGTTATTTTTAAATAACATCACTTAAAACCATAATACTTTCTGTGTTTCCTTGATGAAAATTTACTTTTACAAGATGAGTCCTTTTTTTTTTTTGTTAAAAATAAAAATAGAAGAATATTCTATTTATTCTTCTTATTTTTCCTTTAAGCGATGAAACCTTCCTGTGATGGCAGACAGAATGAAGCAAAGTGTTTTGGAGCTGTGGGAGGAGCAATAGACATTCAGCTGATGGACAACTCGTCAGAAATACCCATATTCCGATGGATAATGAATAACTTGGTGATATTATTGTAGATATAACATAGTTCTTACTCCAAAGAATGACAGAATTCCCTTTTTTCCAAGTAATGGAACAGTCAGGATCAATGACTTGAGAAGGACTGACAGCAGTGAATATAAACTTGAAATGTTTGATAGAAATGGAATAAGCACAGAATGGAGAACTCTGCAACTATTTGTTATAGGTAATCAACTATTTCTCTTCCAAATATTTTCATTTTTCTCTTTTACATTGTTTCATTTCACAACAGGACATAGAAAGAAATTTTACTTTTATTAAATAAAACATAATTTACAACATACTGCAGTTTGTCTTCTCTACTTTCCAGTTTTCCACCAACATTTAAAAACAAGATATTTTCAGTAATCAATTTCTTCATGTGTTTCTCTCTCAGCTCCTGTGTCTTCTGTTCAGCTCGTCCCTCAGTGTTTATCTCACGGACAGATGATGGTGTCATGTGTGTGTCGAGGCGACCTTCCTCAATACAGCTGGACTCTGGATGGACGCCCACTGACAGACACTGAGCTCTTCTCTAGAAATACTGAGGCCAACATCATCGTTCTGAGACAAAACATCCGAGGACATCTGGTCTGTTCAGTCAGGAATCAAGTCAGTAACTCCTTCAAAGGGATGGACGTAACTGACTGTGGTGAGTGTGAAATGAAAATAACTTGTTTATTTTAGTGGTTTATTGTCAGATTGCTTCTGGGCTTCACATTCATAATCTGCTCTTCAAATGGGACACAAGTCACTAGTGCGTTCATAAATGAAATAGCACCTTGTGTGTTGAACCAACAGTCTGTCCAATAGCAAAATATACAAATGTGGGTCAGAAGACACAGTCAATATTGCATATAGCAGACCTAGCGACAAACTTTGGTATATTAGTAAGTTAAAAATTACTAAAAATCGCATCAATAATCTCATCCTCTGGTGTGAGACCTTCTGGAGTTCATCCAGCAAAAAGTACAATCTAACACTACAGTAAAAACTCCTTAGATTAGTTAAACTAATGAAGTGTTTTGTCTTTAAACAGATCCGACTGTCTTTGGGATTGCGTAGTATTGCTGTGGTTCTTTAATTTTCCTTTGTCTCTACTTCACTTGGAAGCAAGAGAAATATGAAAAAGCCAAATCGTCTGCCATCCCACCCACAGTGGAGAATCCAGAGAACTGATGGTTCAACTGAGCTCTGCACCTTAGATGGATGACATCATGACTTTAATTTGTAAAAATTCAACATAAGCTCACAAATATAAACATGTAAATACTTCTGGGATTGGCTGCCATGTTTTATGAGTGTTTTATTGTGCAACATTCCAAAGTGTCATTTTTAAATTTTGTTAAAGTGAAAGTTTTAGTTTAATTTCTTTCTAGATCCGTGGTTCTTAACCTGGGTTCGATTGAACCCCAGATCCTAAACGTTTGTAGCTTCGTTATGGAATAATATTTTTTAAAAAAATCAACAAAACATGTTAAAATTAATATTCTCGGTAATTATTGTTAAGTTGGCCTTCTATTACCTGAAGAACATCTCCAGGATTAGAGGACTGATGTCTAGGCCAGATCCAGAGAAACTCATTCATGCGTTTATCTTCAGTCGCATTAATTATTGTAACAGCGTCTTCACAGGCCTGTCCAACAAATCAATTAATCAGCTGCAGCTGATCCAGAATGCTGCTGCTCGCGTTCTCACTAAAACCAGGAAGATGGAGCACATAACACCAGTTTTAAAGTCCCTGCACTGGCTCCCTGTAGCTCAAAGAATAGACTTTAAAATACTGTCGTTAGTTTACAAATCACTGAACAGCTTAGCACCAAAATACATTTAAGATCTGCTGTTGTATCAACCTTCCCGACCTCTCGGGTCTTCTGGTTCTGGTCAGCTCTGCATCCCCAGAACCAGAACCAAGAGAGGAGCAGCTTTCAGCATCTATGCACCAAATATTTGGAACAAACTTCCAGAAAACTGTAAAACAGCTGAAACACTGACTTCCTTTCAATCTCGACTAAAAACGGAAATGTTTAGAATTGTATTTAAAATGTAATCAATTAAAAATTTAATGTTGGGACTTGACTTAATGTATTGTTTATTCTATGTTGCATGACTTTGTGTTTATGATGTAAAGCGAGTGGTTCTGAGTTATTTTATCTTTGTTTACCTTCGCTGTGGTTCCTCACAGCCCCTTTAGTTTCTGAATGATCAATAAACGACAAACTTGGTCTAATTACCTCATTCGTCTGCAGTAAACGTCCCAACAACCATCAAATAGGACAAATATATTTGATTAGGTTTTAACAAACAAATGCATCTATCACGATAATTATGTGAAATGAAATGAGTCATATCCCAAATTCAGAAGATTTGCCTTTACCTCTGCAGAGCTCTTTGGTTCCCCCAATCAGTCTGTAGCTTCTCATAGTGACGTCATCAAACCAAATATCAGATCTATCAGAACTGACTGACACCTGCTGGCCTCAGGTTTGCAACCAGCTTCTGACTGAGACACCAGTAACCTGCTCCCAGTGTCAGAATCTCACTGAGGAAGAAACCGCATTAGGTTTTCTATCACTTTATCATTTCTGATATAACTGATGTATATTTGCATAGAAAATGAGTCAATCGGGTTTAATTTACAATTTTTATGTCTTCGTGTCATGAGGTAGATCTCAGCCGTCGGGTGAGAGGAAAAAGTAGATCTTGGGCTCAAAAAGTTTGAGCACCCCTGATGTACAACATGGATTCACATGTATCATGGAACATGGATCAGGGTCACATCTGCATGATATGCACTTCCAACTCTCGTCTCGCACTGGCAAAACTAAGGGAACACTTCTTGAAGCTGCAAGGAGATGGAGGAAAGTAAAAAAGTATTTTGTGGATTCAAAACGACAAAAAGCAACTTAAATTTCAAATAGAAAAAAAATCAAGTTATTAAAAAAATGTTAAATTCTTCCAAAAATTTCAATTAGTCAAAACAGCAAAAAAAAATTAAATTAAAAATAAAATAAAAAAATTGGAGGGGGCCTGAAATTCTTTTTTGGGGCCAAAAGGTTTTGCGGGGGCCAGAATAAAGTGATACCGTATTGTGTTGTGAGTTCATGCAGTGTGTTGGTTTAGTTCTTTGAGCAAGGTGATGTAAATGCATGGCTCATTTTGTGCACCGGTAAAAAAGCATATACCTATGTCTTGAATTTGGAAAAAAAAAAATCTTATTTAATTTATTACTAAAGAAGAGTTCAGTGAATCCACATATGAAACTGGTGGGTTCGGTACCTCAAAAAAGGTTAAGAACCACTGCTCTAGAGGTTAAACATGTTTGGTTTTTTTTAATGCATTTTCCAATTTTATCATACTTTCAATGAATTAGCATTCAACTAATGTTGAGTTGTACCATGAGCTTCTTATGACATATAATGATGTGAATAAGTGTTTGCCAACTTCCTGATTTCCTGTTTTTTGTATGTTTTATGCATTCTCCCATTCTCAAGTCTTTGTCATAAGCAGTTTGCAAGTGTTCAGTTTTTTTCCATCTTGCTTTGTATGTGTTCTGACAGAAAAAAAAAAATCAGCACTGTTTAACGTTTGGGGCTGATTCAATTTATTGATGTCATGATTAAATTATTTTCACGTTGTTAGTAAACACATAATTTTCAGCATTTCATTGCTTGATATGTGTAAAATTAAGACAAAAATTGATTCCTGCAACCTGAAAGTTGTGGGTTGAACTTTATCTTCTTCCACACATCGAATCGCCAGGAGCAAGGTACTAAACCCCAAATTCACAATCAGTGTATTATGTTTGCATGGAGGTGAGTGCAAAATTATTTAATATTTTGACTCTACAATATAAGCACAAATAAGAAAAACTATTGAGAGAATACAGATTCTGCATTTTCAGCTGTTCAATCAGTTCTGGAGGAGTGGGGATGTTTATCAACAATTGGTTCAACAACACAGAGGCTAAATATTGAAGTTCATACTGATAAATATTTATTTGAATCCTTTTTTTAAATACAATTTCACACAATTGAATTTCAGCATTCTGATCAAAGAAATTGAATAACTGTAGCAACTGTTTGAGCAAAAATATTATAAATAAACTTCGTGATGTTAAGATTTCTATTTCTGATTGTCTATAAACATACATTTTCTTAAAGAAGATATTTAACAAATGTTGATTCGAAACTACGGTCATCATTTTGTTATTGTTTGTGCCTTTTTATTCAGTTACAACAACATTCTTTTTCAGGTAATGGACACAACCTTTAAGAATTATTTTAATACTAATCATCTATTCATTATATAGAAACCTGTTTAAAAAGGTTTCTCAGAGCCTATTAGAACATTTCTTTTTCTCCCTCTCTCTCCAACACACAAGCAAAGACTTGTTGGTTGAAAGAGGAAGTAATAACTTCCTTTTCTCCTCTCAGTGAGTTAAAAACATGAACACTACAGTTATTTGATGTGATCAAGGTCTTTGCCAGTTCTCCTCTGTTGCTGATCACTAACAGGACACACAGCAGGTTGTTCAGAATAAAATGTAAATGTTACATTCTGGATAAAATACCTCAAACTGGCAGCAGCTGAGTGAATCTGAGCAAAGATGAAAGCCGTCGTTGGATTCTTACTGATGTCGCTCCAAGTCACTCATGGTGAGTTTTTTAACTTTTCACTCGGCACCAAATTTATTCTGTTATTTGTGAATGACGTGGTAAAATACTGAGCTTACATGATTTCTCTATGAACTTTGATGGTGTGGTATGTTTATTAAATTAGTATTATTTCATAGAAAAGTTTCACTTTATATGAAAACAGAAATGTTCCAAACTTGTTAAATATGATTGAAGTATGTGGAAGTGTTTCGGCTCAGGCTCATTAGCAAAATGTAAATTTGTCCATAAAAGTATAGAAATGTAACTTTACAAAGATGCATAGATGATTTTTGCTATTTGTTTTTAGTTATCAAAAATTTAGCATCAAACTTTAAGTCAAAACAAAATGTGAAAGACAAGCCAAATAAACAATTACATGTTATATTTATTTGAGTTAGGATCCAGTTTTCAGATGGTAAATCTATTTAATAATTTAGTTCATTTATTTGATTATTTTATTTAATCTTTGAAAAATGTCATTATTAGTAGTAGTTTTTGACAATGTCAAGAGAAACAAAAGTTATCAATTTTACAGATCTCTGCAGTAAACAAAAGCTTGACAGAAACATTTTTCATGATCACATGATTTGATGATCCTTGATTAAAACTATTTATTCATCTTAATCTAATCATGAATGTAAAAGTGGGTGAGTTTGTCCTTTATATGTATTGGTAAAGAGTTGAAGAGTCACTTTGTGTGACTTTAAAACAACGTGATTCTGTAATACAAAAATAGCCTGAATTAAAAGAAAAAACTGAACAAAAGTTTGCAATTATTAATTTTCCTTTTAATACTTAAAGTTGTAAAGGCACCACAACTATAAGTTCATTAAATATTATTGATTAAATATTTATTTTTGGCCTCTGTTTAAGAAAAATTGTGTTGATTTATGTTAGCTTACCTTTTATTGTTTTGTTGCGTTTCAAACTCTGCTGTTTGATACGAAGCATTTAAAGTCATAGTGAGGTGTGAGAAATGCTCAGTGCTTTATATTATAAATGTGTGAGTGGCTCAAAGAATCCCTTCATTTTTTTGATCTAGATTAACAACATAAATACACTACTTCTCATTTCTATTCTTGTTTTTCCTTTAAGCGGTGAAACCTTCCTGTGATGGCAGAGAGAATGGAGCTCAGTGTTTTGGTGCTTTGGGAGGAGCAGTAGACATTCAGCTGATGAACGACATGTTAGAAATACCCATGTTCAATTGGAAAATGAATATCTCTGTGATACTCTGGTGGAGGAATAACATAGTTCTTCCTCCAAAAGACGACAGAATTTCTGTTTTACCCAGTAATGGAACAGTCAGGATCAATGACCTGAGAAGGACTGACAGCGGTGAATATGAACTTGAAATGTTTGATAGAGATGGAAAAATGACAGGATGGAAAACTCTGCAACTTATTGTTATAGGTAATCAGCTATGTGTCTTGAATTTAATTTTTCTAATTTTCACTCTTTCATATTTAATTTTACAACATGAATTGGAGACACATTTTACTTAAATAAAAATAATTTACAACATACTCCAGTTTGTCTTCTCTACTTTCCAGTTTTCAACCTAACTTTAAAAACAAGATATTTTCAGTAATCAATTTTTCATGTGTTTCTCTCTCAGCTCCTGTGTCCTCTGTTCAGCTCGTCCCTCAATGTTTATCTCAGGGACAGATGAAGGTGTCCTGTGTGTCTCCAGGCGACAGTCCTCAATACAGCTGGACTCTGGATGGACACAAACTGACAGACTCTGAGCTCTTCTCTAGAAATAATGGGGCCAACATCATCGTTCTGAGACAAAACATCCTAGGACATCTGGTCTGTTCAGTCAGGAATCAAGTCAGTAACTCATTCAAAGGGATGAACTTAACTTATTGTGGTGAGTTTGAAAAGATAAATGATCAGTTTTTTATTATGATCCATACATGATTTATAATTTTTGCTTCTAGGCTTCATTTTCATTAACTGCACTTCAAATGGGACACAAATAGCCAAATGGGTGTATAAAGAAAATAACACTCTGTGTGTTGAACCAACAACAGTCCCTCCAACAACTAAATATACTAGTGTGGGTAAGAAGACACAGTCAAATACTTCTGCTAGCAGCCCTAACAGCAATGATCCACTTTTGAATATTAGTAAGTGAAAATGACTAAAAATCTCATTGATAATCTCATCCTGTGGTGTGACAACTGCTGGAGTCATCCAGCAAAAAATACAATCTACGATGAAAACTCATCAGTTTTATGAAACTAATGAAGTTTTTTGTCTTCAATCAGATTCGTCCTCCTGGCTCACTTTGGGATTGCGTAGTATTGCTGTGGTTCTTCCTTTAATTGTCCTTTGTCTCTACTTCACTTGGAAGCAAAAGAAATATGAAAAAGCCAAATCCTCTTCCATCCCACCCACAGTGGAGAATCCAGAGAACTCTGTTCTGATGGTTCAACTGAACTCTGCACCTTAGATGGATGACATTATGACTTTAATTTGTAAAAAATAAACACAAGCTCACAGAAATAGTTCTGGGATTGGCTGCCATGTTTTATGAATGTTTTATTGTGCAACATTCTAAAGTGTGATTTTTAAATTTTGTTAAAGTGAAAATTTTAGTTTAATTTCTTTCTTGTGTTAAATATTGTCAAAATTCCGTCTGTATGATTTTTTTTTAATGTATTTTCCAATATTATCATACTTTCAATAAATTGGCATTCAACTAATGTTGAGTTGTCCCATGAGCTTCTTATGGTGTTTTTCACCTCCCTTATTTCCTATTTTTTGTGTGTTTTTCATACTTAAGTAATACTAACTTCTAAGGACGTCTTACATGTGTGGGAACCACTGAAGTAAAAAGTAGTAGTCAAATAAAACCAGCAGAGAAAAATATAAACTTCACTGAAAAGACTCAAGCTAAAATGTGATGAAGGAACCTTGTAGCCTCAGAGACAACGGTTAAGCACACCAACACAGTTTAAAGATGATTTTCTGCTTATGAAAGGATCTTACAGGTTCTTTGAATCAAATTATAAAGTGCAAACACTGGGCCCTATCTAACAGGCTTTGTACAACTCTAGATATTTGACAAAGATATGTTATTAACATCTGAAAGCAGCTGAGCGCATGAACAGAAGCTGAACGTCAAGCAAACATGGAAGTTGTTTTTGTTTTTCTTGATGCAACTCGAACTGTCTTCATCTGGGAAGCTTTAAATGTTTGTACAATAAATAAACCACAAGTTACAGAAATTGAGTTTCTTTGAGTTAAGCACTATTCTCAGAGAATGAAAGCAGCTTCGACTCTTTTTAAATATCAGAAGAAGCCGAAAAATTGGCGAGTGTTTCAGTAAACTTTGCAAGCTTTTCAGACATATTGTGGAACTTTTAAAGAACAGAAGAATATTTTGTTCCTGCAAATGGTGGTGATGGCATCCTGTTCGCTCAGTCTCTCTTTTCTCTGCTATAATATCTGCAGATAATACAGCTGAAAAGTTGTAATATCTGCTTTTCTCTTGACTTCTAAGGCAACCTTTAGAAGTCCAGTCAAGTCACAGCTTCATCACCTGGTCATTGTGGTTAATTCAATTAAACTTCAGTTGTTCTTTATGAAAGATCTCCTGCTCCGGTAAAGAGACACTAATTAAGAAAATATAAACTTTTTCTACATGTCAATACTTAAACTCCAACAATTAACTAAGGAACATAAAAGATCTCAAGTCCCTAATCTCTTGATTGTAAACCTCCCCTTACTCTATTAGAGGAAAATATCTGCATCAAATTGGATGTTTTTTTTTTCTCTGAGAGTTTTTGCAGTGCTGGTGGCTTGTATGTTTTGCGATAGAAGGCAGGGTGAGGACATGCGACAATGGTCAGAGGGACCTGGAGTCAAACCCACAACTTCTGTGTTGAGGACTCCAAATGTGGGATGTGCTAACCCCCTGTGCCACCCAAACACACCTTGTTACTGAATATTTTGACTCTACAATATAAGCACAAATAAGAAAAACTATTGAGAGAATACAGATTCTGCATTTTCAGCTGTTCAATCAGTTCTGGAGGAGTGGGGAAGTTTATCAACAATTGGTTCAACAACACAGAGGCTAAATATTGAAGTTCAGACTTATAAATATTTATTTGAATCCTTTTTTAAAATACAATTTCACACAATTGAATTTCAGCATTCTGATCAAAGAAAATGAATAACTGTAGCAACTGTTTGAGCAAAAATATTATAAATAAACTTTATGATGTTAAGATTTCTATTTCTGATTGTCTATAAACATACATTTTCTTAAAGAAGATATTTATCAAATGTTGATTCGAAACTACAGTCATCATTTTGTTATTGTTTGTGCCTTTTTATTCAGTTACAACGACATTCTTTTTCAGGTAATGGACACAACCTTTAAGAATTATTTTAATACTAATCATCTATTCATTATATAGAAACCTGTTTAAAAAGGTTTCTCAGAGCCTATTAGAACATTTCTTTTTCTCCCTCTCTCTCCAACACACAAGCAAAGACTTGCTGGTTGAAAGAGGAAGTAATAACTTCCTTTTCTCCTCTCAGTGAGTTAAAAACATGAACACTACAGTTATTTGATGTGATCAAGGTCTTTGCCAGTTCTCCTCTGTTGCTGATCACTAACAGGACACACAGCAGGTTGTTCAGAATAAAATGTAAATGTTACATTCTGGATAAAATACCTCAAACTGGCAGCAGCTGAGTGAATCTGAGCAAAGATGAAAGCCGTCGTTGGATTCTTACTGATGTCGCTCCAAGTCACTCATGGTGAGTTTTTTAACTTTTCACTCGGCACCAAATTTATTCTGTTATTTGTGAATGATGTGGTAAAATACTCAGCTTACATGATTTCTCTATGAACTTTGATAGTGTGGTATGTTTATTAAATTAGTATTATTTCATAGAAAAATATACACTTTATATGAAAACAGAAATGTTCCAAACTTGTTAAATATGATTGAAGTATGTGGAAGTGTTTCAGCTCAGGCTCATTAGCAAAATGTAAATTTGTCAATAAGAAAAAGAAATGTAACTTTACAAAGATGCATAGATGATTTTTGCAATTTTTTTTAGTTATTAAAAATATAGCATCAAACTTTAAGTCAAATCAAAATGTGAAAGACAAGCCAAATAAACAATTACATGTTATATTTATTTGAGTTAGGATCCAGTTTTCAGATGGTAAATCTATTTAATCATTTAGTTCATTTATTTGATGATATTATTTAATTTTTGAAAAATGTCATTATTAGTAGTAGTTTTTGACAATGTCAAGAGAAACAAAAGTTATCAATTTTACAGATCTCTGCAGTAAACATTTTCCATGATCACATGATTTGATGATCCTTGATTAAAACTATTTATTCATCTTAATCTAATGATTAAGATGAATGTAAAAATGGGAAACCTTTATATGTATTGGTGAAGAGATGAAGAGTCACTTTCTGTGACTTTAAAACAACGTGATTCTGTAATATAAAAACAGCCTGAATTAAAAAAAAACTGAACAAAAGTTTGCAATTATTAATTTTCATTTTTATACTCATTGTTGTGAAGGCATCACAGTAAAATATTTATTTTGGACTCTTTCAGAAAAGTAGTGTTGATTTATGTTAGCTTACCTTTTATTGTTTTGTTGCGTTTCAAACTCTGCTGTTTGATACGAAGCATTTAAAGTCATAGTGAGGTGTGAGAAATGCTCAGTGCTTTATATTATAAATGTGTGAGTGGCTCAAAGAATCCCTTCATTTTTTTGATCTAGATTAACAACATAAATACACTACTTCTAATTCTTATTCTTGTTTTTCCTTTAAGCGGTGAAACCTTCCTGTGATGGCAGAGAGAATGAAGCTCAGTGTTTTGGTGCTTTGGGAGGAGCAGTAGACATTCAGCTGATGGACAACTTGTTAGAAATACCCATGTTCATATGGAAAATGAATAACTCTGTGATACTCTGGTGGAGGAATAACACAGTTGTTAGTAAAAAGAACAACATAATTTCCGTTTTTCCCAGTAATGGAACAGTCAGGATCAATGACCTGAGAAGGAATGACAGCGGTGAATATAAACTTGAAATGTTTGATAGAGATGGAAAAACGACAGGATGGAAAACTCTGCATCTATCTGTTGAAGGTAATCAGTTATGTGTCTTGAATTTTTTGATCTAATGTTTACTCTTTTACATTTGTTTAATTTTACAACATGAATTAGAGACACATTTTACTTCAATAAAACATAATTTACAACGTACTCCAGTTTTTCTTCTCTACTTTCCAGTTTTCCACCAAAATTGAAAAACAATGTATTTTCTTTAATAATTTTTCATGTGTTTCTCTCTCAGCTCCTGTGTCTTCTGTTCAGCTCGTCCGTCAATGTTTATCTCAGGGAGAGATGAAGGTGTCCTGTGTGTCTCAAGGCGACAGTCCTCAATACAGCTGGACTCTGAATGGACACAATCTGACAAACTCTGAGATCTTCTCTGGAAATAGCGGGGCCAACATCATCGTTCTGAGACAAAACATCTCAGGACATCTGGTCTGTTCAGTCAGGAATCAAGTCAGTAACTCCTTCAAAGGGATGGACGTAACTGACTGTGGTGAGTGTGAAAAGATTAATAATCATTTTTTTATTATGATCCATACATGATTTATAATTTTGTTTGCTTTTAGGCTTCATTTTCATTAACTGCACTTCAAATGGGACACAAATAGCTAAATGGGTGTATAAAGAAAATAACACTCTGTGTGTTGAACCAACAACAGTCCCTCCAACAACTAAATATACTAGTGTGGGTAAGAAGACACAGTCAAATACTTCTGCTAGCAGCCCTATCAGCAATGATCCACCTTGGTACATTAGTAAGTGAAAATTAACCTCTGCTGTGGTAGATTCAATATAATCAATTCCTCTCTCCATTCCTGTCAATTTGCTTAAATCCCACAGAGTAACACTGACCTTAAAGACCTGTGTTTGTCTTATTATGTTTTCAAACAGGGCAGTTGCCTGTAATGGGTGGTGTGTTAGCAGCACTCGTAATTGTCTTGATAGCCAGCATAGCATTCATCTGTGTCCACAAGAAAAAGAAAAACACAAAAGGTAAATAACACAGCTTTCTCAATAACTACTCATAAAGTCAGTAGGTTGACATTTTTCTGTTCTTCCTGCTTCTCTGCAGTGGAGAAGGAGGAGGATGACCAGGAAATGACCTATGCTGATGTCAGGATTGTGAAAAAGCAGGGGAGAAGAGTGGAGAAAAGTGTTGAGGCTGACGTGGAGTACGGCCAAGTCAAGTTTTCAAAGAAACCAAGAACATCTCAAATTAACCCGGCAATGGATGATACTGTGTATGCACAAGTACGAAAAGGCAGGTGATCTGTACTGTCTACCAGGCTTATTTTTACACATTTACAAAGACAATGCTATGAAAGGCTGAGAGAGGGATCATGTAAAGTGAAAAAGGCTTTTATTTTATATGATTTCCTGCTGCAATTCGAGTCGTGGCCCCTTTACGGAGATTAATAAAGCTGTTCCGGCTTCAGCTCAAAGCGTGGGCCATTCACTGCATGTCTATAAATTTTCCTTATTCCTGTTTACTACGATGCTGAATAAAGGAAAATTGTTTAAAATATCAGGTCATTACAGCTAAGGTTTATTATGCTACTTACTTTTTAGAAGTCCATTTGTCATTGCAGTTTTAACTTATTAAACATGATGCTTGTTTCTCGATAACATGAAGTTGGCTTGGTGAGCAACACCTTACAGCACTTGAAAATATGCTTTAGATGCCATTAATTTAAAAGCACTCTTCTGAAATATTTTATTGTCATTGAAAAGCTGAAATACTGTTACAAAAAGCTGCATGTGATGTTTATCAAATTAAAATATATTTGATGAATACCAGGCTAGTGAGTGGAGTTTATGCTTTAACCTACGACTACAAGCTGAAGTAATGCAGTCGCTACATATGCAATGATTTGTCGACATCAACCGGAATAAGAAAAAAATAAAAAAAACCCACTTCTGGATAAATTAATGATTAATATTATGTTTATAAATGATTTATTAATTATTTTTTATCATAATTGATATAATTTCATCTCAGCTCATATGGATTGTGTATTTGCAGCTTGTCTTGACGTTGAGCTCATCTCCATGTGACTCAAGAGCAGATAAAGAAATGAGAGAAACTTTATCTTTAGGGAGGTTTGTAGTTAAAAAAAAAACTGTTTCCATGACACAAACATTCTAAATTATCTCTAAGACAATTATATTTTAAATTCTCATATGGACTTAATGGTTTTTGGCTTTGGTTGTATTGTTCAAAATGTTCTTTTATGCACTCTGGCCCTCATAAGCAAATAAAGAATCGCACTATATTACAGCTGTGTTGCCATGCAATACAAACCAACATAATTTATATCATCTTATCGATTTATTTCTAAGTACTGATCGTTTGTACTTTTCCCCATTTTGTTGTATTTTTCATGCAGTGGAAAACAGTCTTGCGCAAACACAAATAAAAGAGGAACTGGAAATGCGGCATTCTTTTAATATTCAGCACATTTAGTTTGAGGAAACAACATCTAACAGCTTGTCAGATAACAGACGGAAAGTTAGGTTTGCTTCTCGACGCCCTCAGGTTATCTTTTCTATATTTGGTCATGTGACTGTGTGGTTTCCACTTTACCAAATATCTATGTGACCAGAATGTAAAGATCACAGATCAAGTGTAATAGCACTGACAGTCAGGCCCATAAATATTTGGAGAGACAAAGTTTTTTTCAAACAACTCGGATACAATCAAAGAGCAATCCTTACACAATCCCTTCATTTTAGGGTCTCAAATGATATTGGAGAACTTCAATAACTTAAAATAAAAATGTTTATCACTAAAACTTTGTTAAAATTTTTTTGCTGCCAATGACATTTTGAAGTGCTGAATTTGCGGACATCAAACAGTAAGTTCCTCTGTTTTGAAGCTCTCACAGGCGTTTACTTCAGCGCCTTTCAGCTGCTGTTTCTTTGAGTATTTTTGTTTGAAGTTTAGTCTTTAGTAAAATGCATGCTGACTTGGGAACCCAAGAGTATTCTGCTTGATAAATGTCTGAGTTGCTTTGGATCATTGCCCGTCTGGTTTCGAGCACACATTATGTCTCTGAAATACAAATTAATTCAGCTGCCTCAGTACTGGTATTATCAATAAACAATACTGGTACAGTAATACTGGTACAGTACAGTACAATAAACAATACTGGTACTGATACAGTAGTAATAATCAATACTGGTACAGTATTATCAATGAACACTATTGTTCCAGAAACGCATGCATGCCCAAATTTCCACAAATTTGTTCTTAACTGAATAATGACAGGAATAAAGCTACTGTTGAACAACATTGATGAAAATGCACCAATTGCAGTTTTCCACACAGAGATACAGGGAAAATATGATCCAGTTAAATCAAAATCCAGCTGGTCTACATTCAAAATGCTGCAGATGCAAAACAGCATCATGTGGGAAACGCGTTTCTTTAGCAGGGGCATTGAAGTTGGTCAGAGATCACAGGAAGTTAGATTGAGCTAAATATGAGGCAATTCTTGAAGAAAATCTGTTAGGAGATCAAAAAGACTGAGACATAGCCATATGTGAGAATGGCCCAGTCAAAGTCCAGACCTAAATCCAACTTTTTAGTAAAACTTAAAAAGTTAATGTCGACATTAGTTTTCACTCCGATCTGACTGAACTTGAGCTTTAATTACAAAGAACTTACAAAACTTTATATCTATTGCTGTTAAAAACAGACATTCAAGTGGTTGTATTGCCTGACAAACTCAAACTGCAACCGCACACTACTAATTTCAGATTTCTATTTGCAGAAAAGTTTTATAAAGTCACTTTCCTCTTCACAAAGATCCCAAGCTTTATTTTGGTCTATCACACAGAATTCAAATGTGATACACTGAAGTTTATAAAACTCATTCTGAGTCCTTGAAATAAAAATATATATTCAACAAACTTTAATAACAGACAGTATTCATTTCTTAATATCATTTTTAGCAAATCTAAGAACAAGCTGGAAATAATCAAAACAGGCAGGTATGAAAAGACTGTTCTGGCATTTGATCATTTTTAGTGATACTTTGACCTTTTGGTCAGATTTTACTTTGGAAGTTTGGTTTTCACTTTCTGTCTGTTTAATCAGCAACAGAATAAGTTAAGTTTTATGGTTTGAGGTTAAAGGTTAACAATCATTCAGCTGACATACAGGGCTATAAAGTACATTTATGATCGAAGCCATTTGAATTCTCCTTAAACTACAATCGAAGATCTTTTCGTGTGGCTCAAACAGTCAATTCTTCTTTTTTCAACTAAAACACAGAACCAGTTATTGGGGTTCTTTGAAAACCATGACATGCTAGACTTTCGAACAGCGGCAATTAAACATGTAATTCTGATAAATGTCAAGAGATAATGATTGTCATGGCACGCTCATGTGATGTTGCCGTGCAGTGCCAAAATTAGCCCACTATAAAACAAAGTCCAGCGCCAATTTTTGCGCCTCAAGTAAGTCAGTTTTCCATTTGAAGATACAGTTAAGTCTACAAATTGACCAAAGAAAGAAAAAGTTAACGAGATGTTCATGCTTGGTTTGGTGATGAATTTATATTATGGTGCCAGTTGGTACATTTTTTGCAAGTCTCAAACTTTATTTTACAGAAACGTCACATAAATATGAGTCAAAGTCACAGAAGTCAGCTTCTGTGTTGTTCTACCATTTTGTTAGCTCATAACTTATGTCTAGCCAGCCATTTTAGCCTGCTCTATCCTAAAATTATATTTGAGGTTGGTCATTTCAAGCTTAATATGGGCCCATATCACATGCATAAAGATATGATTTGTATTTCCATAAATATAGCATGTATAGCATATGCCATGACCAGGTCAGCTCACTTTTACACTTGCTCTTCTTCTTTTGTCACAACGTAGACGACTCAAACTCAGGTGACTCTTTCATGAACGTATACTGTACTTTAGTCCTTTTTTTAGTAAAACTTAAAGTTATGTCGACATTAGTTTTCACTCTGATCTGACTGAACTTGAGCTTTAATTAGAACTTTTAAAACTTTATATCTACTGCTGTTAAAAACAGACATTCAAGTGGTTGTATTGACTTACAAACTCAAACTGCAACCGCACACTACTAATTTCAGATTTCTATGTGCAGAAAAGTTTTATAAAGTTCTTTTTGAGGCTTACAGTCCATTATTTATTTAAAAAATTCAAATTTGTGGCACGGCTCAATGTCGGTATTTAGAGCCACAATGACTGTGTCACATGGCATGTGGTTGAGCAGACAGCCTGCCAGGATGTGGCTAATCTCTCAGCTGAACTTCTCATTTCTTGGGCTAATATTTTTTAAGCTACGCTCTCGCTTCTTTAGTTCATTTGCTATGTTGGCTAAAACTATTAAATGTAAATGAATTATTAAATGCAACAATTTTCATGTCAATTCATCTCTGCTGGACCTCAAGCTAACACGATATGAAACTTAAAATGGTTGTTCACAGCTGCCAACTTTAACTTCTTTTTTCTTCTTTCTTCAAGTTCCCTTCTGCTCTGTTCTTTCGGTTTTCTATAAACCAAGCATTACTTCTCTAAAATCCTATGTTACTTATTTTTGTAATTCAGCTGCATGGGCATGAAACTGAAATGCAAAAAGCAGTTTCCATAAGTCAGATAAAAAAAAAATTACCACAAGGCACTTTTTAATGCAGCATACATTTAACATTAGACCAAGCTTAAACCAACAAACTTCATTATTTTCGTTCCTTCAAACAGAACATGTGAACATGTTTTAGTGTTTCTTGACTGAGAAGCACATACAGTGATGGAAAGACATATTTTATAATACAAAATTGCACTAATTTTGCTGTCTTTTCACACCTAAATGTGTCAGATCACCAGCCAGAGATAAGCAGATAAATTAAAATTATGAATACATTTGTCAAGGAAAGAAAAAAACTTTTCAAATCATCAAACCCTAAAACTTATTGGTGGCAACAACGGTTATTGTAATACTTTCTTAAATGGGATGCAAATGTTGTGCAAGGTGTATTGGGGCATTCGTTTTAAAAAAAGAAAAAGCTAACTTTTAAGTCAGCAGTTGTTAGGTTTTTGTCTTAAAACTCTCCCGCTGCTGAAATGTATTCTCATACACTTTTGAATATTTTTGAATTGTGGACTTTAACCTGATCTAACGTAGTTTGGCCTGCAGCGGCTAAGCTGTTCTTTTTTTTTTTCTTTTGACAGTGTGGACGAGGTGTTATCGACACTCACTGTGGTTTGACGGAGTCACAAAACTTAAAAATATATTTTATTCATGATAATACTTCCAGATATGATGAATGTCAATAACTTTATCTGTTGTAAATCTCTTCAGAGGTAAAACATCATGTTTCTCACATAAGGGCAGGTTGTTTTGCATAAATTTTCCCTTTACAAGTTTAAATAAATTTAAATAAATGTTTATATTAACTCAGGTTCCCTTTGTCTGAAATTAAAATATGTTTGATTATCTGGTAAGAAAAACAAATAAAAACCCAGCAGAAAATTGTAAGGGGGTAAATATTTTTTTCACAGCATTATAGACTCTAAAATTGACAATAGACATGTGTTGATCTGATAATAGTCCATACTTGTACAAAATGTGAATGATTTTTAAGGTTTTACAATGTAGCTTCTCACTGTGAAAAATGTATTTGAGGCATCAGTGATACAAACGATTAATCACTCTGTGTTGAACTCATAAAAACAAAAAACTATTTACATTCAGGACACACTCTCTGTCTCCGATCAGGAATCCGGCTAGTACTCCTCCGTTTTTATGTCCGACAGCATGGCGGCGCTGGCGCCGGGGCTGGAGGTAACATGGGCTTCAGTGAGGCCACTGAGAACAGGTGGGGTG